GATCTGTGGTCTTTGGAGAAAAAAATCCCAGACCGTTAGAGTTGAAGGAAAATTGAATTATCTAGTGCCTCTTTCTTCATAAATGGGGAAACTGAGGTCCAGAGAGGCAATTGACTTGCCCTAGCTCACAGTGGGTGGCCTAGAACCGGGGTCAATGGATGTCCAGTTCTCAGCAGGGAAGTCTAGGTCGTTCCCCATCGCAGGTCAAATCCTGGTGACTGAGTGATCTCAGCACCATGTACTTGCCACTCAGTGGTTCCGGTTGTACAGTTATTTGTGTGCTTATTTGATTACTTTGTCAAGTTCTTCCAGGTGGGCTAGGGTTTTGTCTGTTTTTGCTTGTCATTATAACTCCAGTATCTAGTACAGCGACTGACACGATTATTACGAAGTGTTATCCAGCCTAGCCCATCTATCTAACCAAGTGCACTTTCCAAAATCACAGTGCTGATCATGCCACTTACTCATTGCACAGCCTACAACGGATGCTGTTCATCCACGCCTACAAAATAAGGCCCAGTCTCTTCATTCTGGCACTCCAGGCCCCTTCAGAATCTGGCCCAACCTCACCTTTCCAATCTTACCGCCCCTTCTGCTACTCTGTATTTCTGTGCTCAGTTCCACCATTCAGCACTTCTGCTTTGGAGGGAGGATCTTTGTTTTATCACTTTCTAACCGTATCACCTTTGGCAAGCTTTGTTTTTTTTTTTTTCAAATTTCCAACTTTTATTTTAAGATCAGGGGTATATATGCAGGATGTGGTTTGTTACATAGGTAAATGTGTGCCCTGGTGGTTTGTCGCACAGATCATCCCATCACGTAGGTATTAAGCCCAGCATCCATTAGCTATTCTTCCTGATGCTCTCCCTCCTCCCACCTCCCCCTACCCTCCGACAGACTTCCGTGTGTATATGTGCTCTCTTCATTCAGCTCCCACTTATAAGTGATAACATGCAGTGTTTGGTATTCTGTTTCTGTGTTAGTTTGCTGAGGATAATGGCTTCCAATTCCATCCATGTCCCTGCAAAGGACATGATCTTATTCCTTTTTGTGGCTGCATAGTATTCCTTGGTGTATATTTACCACATTTTATTTAGGCAAGTTATTTAACCTCTCTAAATTTCAGCTTTCTTAGCTGACAGGAACACATGTGTAAATTTGAAAATGAGCTTATTGTACCTGCTCATGCCCTAGACTTAGGTTCAAACCACTCCTTTCACCTAGACCAGCAGCCCTCCCATCTCCTGTCCTGCAAGTCTTAGTTCCAATTCCATTCTCCACCTAACCCTCCCACATTCCCCTTAGCTCCAGAGTTAGCCACTCTCTCTTGCCACTCCCCCTTTGCACTTGGTACTGTCACTGTGCCATATTCCAGCCTACCTTGTATAAGGGTTTTCTTTTGATGTTTTCCCCAAAACCCATTCCTCTCCATCTCAGAAAATCCACCCAGTCTCTCAGGCCAAAAACCTAAGATCATTCCGGTGTGTCCTTTTTTTCTCCATACAATCCCCCACCTCCCTCATCTCCATTAGCTCTAATTCAAACATGTACACATCTGCTCTTTTCTCCCTGTTCGTACTATCACTATAGTCCAAGACACTATCATCCGTGCCTGGATCACTACAATAGCCAATTGACTAATGTTCCTGCTCTCACTCTTCTCCGCACACTTCATTTTCTCCACAGGCAGCCAAAGTGGTTATCTTATTCCTTGACTTCAACTCCCTGGGGACTTCCCATCACTCTTACAACAAAAGCTAAACTCATCCTAATGACATTCATGGCCACACATACCAGCATCTCCAGCCTCATTTCTTGCTGTTGCTGTCCCCCTTGCCTCATTCCAGCCATGCTGGTCTGGTTGTGCCACTCCTGGAATGTACAGAGCTCATTCCTGGATGTTGGCTTTGGCTGATCTCTGACTGCCTGGTCATTCCTGCCTCCAGGTCTTTGGACTAGCTCTTCCCTCCGTCTGGGATATTCTTCCCTTGACTTTTCACCGGTTGGCTTTTCCTTATCGTTCAGGTCTCAGTTAAGATATCACCTGGGGTGGGGGGCATTTCTTGACACTGTACCCCACACATTCCCATCATCTATCTTATTTTTTCATAATACGTGTCACTAGTTGAATTGTCCAATTTGTTTACATGTATATTGTAGAACTGTCATTTTCTTATGTATTCCTTTAACCTCAGCACCTAGAATAGTGCCTAGCATGAATTCAGCGTTAGTAGTTATCATCATGTATTGAGTGCTTACTAGGTGCCAGACATTGTGCTAAGTACTATGTGTTGTTTAATTTTCACCACAGTCTTTTGAGATAGACACTATTACCCATTTATAATGAGGAGCTGAGGCTCAGAGAGGTTAAGTGACCTTCCTGTTATCAAAAAGGTAAATGGAACCCAGGCGCAGTGACTCACACCTATAATCCCAACACTTTGGGAGCAGAAGGGAGGACCACTTGAGCCTAGGAGTTCAAAACCAGCCTGGACAACATAGTGAGACGCTGTCTCTACAAAAAAATAGTTTTAAAAAATTAGCCAGGCATGGTGGCATGTGTCTGGAGTCCCAGCCACTCCAGAGGCCAAGATGGAAGGATTGCTTGAGCCCAGGAGGTCAAGGCTGCAATGAGCTGTGTTTGCATCACTGCACTCCAGCCTGGGCATCAGAGAGATTCTGTCTGGGGGGGGTGGGGGGAAAGATAAATGGAGAAGTAGGACTTGATCCCAGGTCTGCATTTTTTTTTTTTAACTACTCAGTATTTAATAGTAAGTCGTGTCTTCTTTACCTTTCTAACTCCCCAGTTCAAAAAATATTGGTGGAATTGAACTGCAAAACTTCAGAAGGGAAGAAGGTTGAAGGTCAAGGGGGTATATTTGCCTGAGAGAGAACAGTGACAAGCTGGCCTGCAAACTGGAGTCATGTGACACACACTCACTTATTCCATAAACATAGTATCCCATTGAGTTCCCACCTCTTGCCAGGCTCTGTTCTAGGTGATGAGAATCCAGCTCCTATGAGAATTATTTGCCCCCATTCCCCTATGCCCAGCAAAGGGCTTAGGAGAACTATCTGTGGGAGGTCTGTGCTATTTCATGGATGGGGCATCCACGTCTTCTCTTAGGGAGTCAGGGACCCGCCAAAGCCAACAGCCGGGGCTGTGCCCCTGAGGACCCACACAGGCCCAGGTATGTTTGTTTTGGAGGGGGCTGGATAAAAGAGAGATCAGGATCTTCCTAAGACTGAAAAACAATCAACTCGCTTCCAAAACCTCAACTACCTGAGGCAGACAGAGGTGGGTGGAGAAGTTCCTGTTATTGTTTCACTTGTAGCCCAAGGGGAAAGCATGGATTCCAGCCTTTTTTTAGAGCACAGAGCACTTTCCTGAGTTGGTGGAAGCCCTGCGGTTGACCCATTAGAGGTGAGGCAGAGCTTGGTAATGAAAGGCCCATCCACTGGAAAATATTGCCTCCCCTAGAGACACAGCCTCCCAAGAGCCACTTGGCTCTGCACCAAGCTTCTGTATGGCTTACTGAGAAGGAATACCAACACCCACCTAATTATTATGGAATTAATTCTCTTTGATTCCAACTAGATCCAGTTCTGAAATTTAAATTCCAGTTGGATGCTGTGGATCAGAGGATGATTTGCAACTTTCCACAGAAGCAACCGAGGAATGAGAACAGCAGACGTGGCAATTTGGCCACACTTCCCTTCCATTATGGGATCATAAGGAGAGTACATTGACATTGTCTATTCCCATAAACTATTCAGGACAGCCACAAAAAAGATCTAGTCCTTTGGGATCTCCAGCACCAAAAAAAAAAAAATCCAATGCTGGGCATGGTGGCTCACATCTGTCTATAATCCCAGCACTTTGGGAGGCTGAGGCAGGCGGATCACCTGAGGTCAGGAGTTCAAGACCAGCCTAGCCAACATGGTGAAACTCTGTCTCTACTAATACAAAAATTAGCTGGGCATGGTGGCTTACACGTGTAGTCCCAGCTACTCCGGAGGCTGAGGCAGGAGAATCACTTGAACCCAGGAGGCGGAGGTTGAGTGAGCTGAGATCGCACCACTGCACTCCAGCCTGAGTGACAGAGTGAGACTCCGTCCCCCCACCTCCAAAAAAAGAAAAATCTATTCTTGTAAAGGGGTTAACAGACCCCAAATGAAGAAAGAGTCTAGATTCTGTTGAATTTCAGTGACAGAGGAAAATATTATGACAAAAAGGAAGATTTAAATTCCAGAAGCATCAAAGTTTAGATATTTCTCTGCAGAATAAATACACAGCAGCCTTTTCTCCATCTTATTGAGCAGAGGGTTTCTAACTAAGGACCCTCCAGTCCTATCCTTCACATTGCAATCGGCGTACTCGCCACTCGGCAAACCTGACTTGACACACCTTTGTGAGAAACTCACCAGTGGCTTCACACTGTGTCTCCCCTGCTCATGCTCCAAAATCCAACCACACTATTCTGTCTCCCATCACTCAGCCTGCTGCACCCAGTCATTTCTGGGCCTTGGCATGTGCTGTTCCCTCTGCCTGAATCCATCTCTTTGTCTAGACACATTTAGGTTCCCCAGCTGTGCACTCCCCTGGTACCTGGCACTGCCCTGTCATCCCACTTTATTGTAAGTGCTTGTTTAACTGTCTGCTCTCCCTGTGGACACTGTGGGGGCAGGGACCATATCTGTGTAGTTTGCCTTGGGATCCCCAGAGCCTTAGTACAGTCCCTGGGACAAAGTGGGAAAAGGAATGGACTCATCAAGTTAGACTTTTCCAATCTGAATGATCTGTGTGCTGCCTCGAAAGTCTGGAGTAGATTAAGAAGTGAAGACAGAAGGATAATGGGGTTGGAATGTGCAAAAGCTGCCTAAGAGGAATGGACGACACATGCCCCTCCTTGCTTTCTCTTCAACTTACCCATCTCCCGAACTGATGAGCAAGATCCATGGATTTTTTGCTGACCACAGTAACAGAAGAGACTATAAAATTCAGCTTTCCATCTGTTTCTTCATGGTCCAAGAAAATACAGCAATTTCAAACTCCAGGGAGACATGCATTCAAATCGTGAAAGCTTAAACCTAGCCTGTCGTAGAATCCCTTAAGAGTAGCATGAATTTGACTCAGGAAGAAAAGTGAAGAAGGCATCATTTACTCTATAAGGATCGATTCCCTGGTGACCCTTAAAGGGGATGAGTTTGATATTTCCTCATAGCAGTTTTTCCCCTCTGGTCTTCAAAGCCAACCTGCTCAATTCCACAGCTGGTCCTTGCTTCTCTTTCTTTCTGCCGGCGCCAACATGCTCCTCATCATAAGGCCTATCATCAGCTAGTACTCGGCAGACTAGGCTGAAAGAGGAAGCTGGCCTTCCAATGGGAGTGCTTTAACATCTGTCCTCTTCCACTGTCCAAAACCTGGCCGCTACTTCAATGCAAAAATGATGCCTTTGCTTTTTAATGTTTTATGTTAGAACCAGGGTTAACTGAGAATAGCTGGGGAGAAATGAAAAAAGAATCAGCACCTCCTTTATCTAAAAACATCACATGAGACACTCGGGCGTGCTCAGGAGTCTGATTTCATTCTCCTGGCCACCAGCACACCTTTGCTCCTGGCAGGAAAAAAAAAAAAAAAAAAAACAGGGCAGAGGTTCTGAAAAGCCATCAATAGGCTGGTCTCCTGTTATTTGGGACCCAACTAGAGAAGGGAATTTTCAGAAATGTGCTAGAAATACCAGCTCTGCAGAGATTTGACAGCCGGTTTGAAGGCTTCAGGCAGTTTGGATAAGCATCTAGACTTTGGGTACATTTCTGAGCCTGCTCTGTGAGTCCTTTGAAGTGTATCCAACTTGAATAAACCTTCCAGATAACTGGGGCCAGTGCAAAAGCTTTCTTTGGAAATCCCCCTGGAAGTGCCTTGTTGCTTTCTCGCAGGGCATCCAGCCCATCAGGACAAGCGATCTAAAAAGTAGAGAAGGAAGAAGCTCAAGAGAGAATGTTTCTATAATGTTCAGTTCACTGTCTTTTTTCCCCTTCCTAGCCTTTTTTACATAGGGAGAAGGAGACAACAGATAGATCACCAAACTCCCAGTGGACTTTGAGGAGCGTGAGCTTAGATCTGCTCGTGGCTTGCCCATGACCCCTTTGTACTGATACAACCTGGCTGTTTCTAAAGATCTAGGCTAAAATGTACAGGAAAAGTACCACATATGTTAGAATAATGAAGAATAACAGGAGATGTTATTTGCCCTCCAGAAAGTCATTGCTGGAAGCACTTATAGAGAGCTGGTGACGGGGCCATGCGTTGGTACAGGCAGAAGGTTCCATCTCATTTCCCAGAGAAGCATTCCCTGGCCGCCTAGGACAGAGCTGGAGCCTGTCTTCTCTCCTGTTTGCACAGGTTTTCTAATCACAGAATTACTGGAGCATCAAGAAGTGCCTGCATGCTTGGAAGGGCTTCCAGGCGGATGAACACACCTCAGCGCCGGGTAGCATTTTCCCAGGGTGCAAACCGGACCGGCTCTGGGTCACACTGACAAGGTGAAGTGGATGGGCAAAGAGTGGGTGGGGTACCGAACACTGGTTTCTTTAGGGAATCAAATAGGGAGGGACCTTTAAAGCCGGAAGTGGGGCCTTCCAGCATGCTTTGGTTCACTTGAGAGGAGGGGCTGAATGATGCTCCTTGTCTAACTTAAGAGACGTAGGCATGAAGGACAGGGCACAAGATCCCGAGGAGCAAAGGATCATCAGCTGCCCCTATCCAGCAATATCCCACAGCGCCACTGGCTGACCACAGGCAAGGAGAGAAATACCCTTTATTTTTTACTTTTTATTTTCCTAAGACTGAGTCTCATTATGTTGCCTAGACTGGTCTCAAACTCCTGGGCTCAGGCGATCCTCCCATCTCAGCCCCTTGAATAGCTGGGATTACAGGTGTATGCCCCTGTACCCAAAATGCTCTTTTTTGATCCTGGGGCTAAATGAGAAAAGGAGGGCAACAGGGAGCTCTGGCTGCAGCACCAGAGGAACCCACTGGAAGGGAAAGGGCAGATAGTTTTGTTTCTTTATTATTTAAAAAATATTAACAGCAATTAAAAATAACACCAACAACAAAAACATTCACAACCTGTCACAGAGTCCTATAAGCTTTGGCCGTTTATTCCCAACGGAGTCCTTCATCCAAAGGCAGGTGGTGATTTCAGCCAAAAGGCCCCTTCATGGTTTTCATGGGTGGGTACTGCTGCTCCATCGGCATGGCCCCAAAGCAGTCAGAGGGGCTACAGTGGCCAGCCTTGCCTGGCTGGCCCATGGGACCCGGGGGCCCAGGAATGCCAGGGATGCCTTGCTGGCCCATTGGTCCTGTTGCGCCCATCTTGCCATAGCCTGGAGGACCTTGAGGACCTAGGGAGGGAAGGGCCACAGAGGGAAAATCAGAAGACCCAGATCATAAGGGGAAAAAAAGCCATAATGGCATCAAATAATAACTTACATTTGATGACTGTTTCTCAAGTTACCACATGTTTTCATGAAGACCTAGTCTGATCCTCACATTGATTCAACAATAACAATACTGCTGGCAAGTTTTATTTAGAACTTCCATGTGCCAGGCACAGGGCTGAGTGCTTTTGATGCATTATTCATTGAATCTGCACAATTTCCTGAGAAAGAAGCTATTTTCTAATTTTGTAGATGAGGATACAGGCTCAGAGAGGTTGCACCTCTGCTAAGTTGTGATGCTGGGTCTCAGAGCCAGGTCATCAGGCTTTGGCCATTTTCCTTCAGGCTATACAGCTAAGCATGCATCTTAGAGAGCACTTCCAGAGGGTTTCAATGGCCTCTTCAAGGTGTACAGCCAGTGAGGTGCTGAGTAGAACTTGAACTCGAGTTCCTTGGCCCCAACTCCATGCAGGTCTTTCCTACTGCGTCACGCTAGCCCAGTTTAAGACTTAAGAACAGGCACTGAGTCTTCCGCCCCCACATCCCCACAGGCCCTGGCAGAGTGTCTTGCACACAGCGGCATTACTATAAATGTGGTTGACTGGCCTGTCGTTGTTTGGACTTTGACACAGCTGTGTCATAGAAGAAACGGAAAGAAAAGGGGTCTCTGCTGCTCTGGATTCATGGTCTCAAATGGTGGTTTTCCTACCTGGGGGGCCGGGAAGACCGTTTTCTCCTGCAATGCCAACACCAATGTCCCCCTTTTCACCTTTGGTACCAGGCAGTCCTGGAACAAAAGAAATAAAACAAGTCCTATCCCTGAGCAGAAAAATGACGCAGCCAGTCAGATTACTTGAAACACACACACATACACACACACACACACACACACACACACACATATCCCATATTCACAACAGACCTCATGGAATACTTAGGTCTGCCCCAAAGGACTACATGTGTCCCTTGGAAACTAGGGCAGAGCTACCTCTCATTCCTGGCAAGCCCTGCCGTCCTTCTCTGCCAATCTGACCAGGGAGCCCAGGTGACCCTGGAGCGCCTGGCCTGCCGGGAGCACCATCCTTCCCTGGGGGCCCTGGTCGTCCCGGAGCCGCCGCCATCTCCATGGGGAACTGCATCCTGGAGGTGTAGTAAGCCATTCTCTCTGTAAAAAAAAGGACAAGGACAGGGACAGGTCAGAGGGTCCCCCGGGGACTCAGAATGACTGCAGATGCCGCATATAGGTCAGCAGCATGGAGTCCACAGCAGCCTTCCTTCACAGGGATGTCAGGGCAAGGAGTATGGCGGTCAGTCTCCCAAGGGGGGTCCCATGTCCTGGCCTCCACATCGCTCCCCATGGAGATCCTTCCAAAGCACAGATCTGACTGTGGCATCTCTGCTCCAACAGCCCTCATTAGTTCACCACCGGCTTCAGAATAAAGCCTGGATCCCTTGCTTGGCATTCAAGGTCTGCTTCCCAAGCAAGACGTTCAGCCCCTTCAGGACAGGGCCTGTGTTTCCCCCAGTCCCTGGCACATCAATGTTGGATGAACAAATGAACAGAAAAAACACTTCAAATAAACCACCCCAGCCATCTTCCAGTGCCACTCGCCCCTGTATTTAGAGCTCACTTCAGGCAGACTCGTTTGATACCAATTTTCTTGTCTGTCTCCTTTGCTCAAGTAGGGGCTTGGGGAACGCGGGAGGGAATCATTTTATCTCTGAACAGAGCAGGTGACAAGGAAGGTCTGAAGGATAATTGAACATCTGCCTGTCAACCCCAGGCCTGTGAGTGTGTGGAGGGTGAGAGCAGGAGGACATTGAGCTTTAAGGAAAAGGAGGCCAAAGCAGGGCAGAGAAGTCTCAGGAAGGGCAGGCAGCACCCACTGCCACCCAGCTGGCTGCCAGTTACCATCAAACATTTTAATGATCTCTTGTCTGATGAACCTCTTGATTTCATCATAATTCACCATGTCTCCCTGAAGAAAGAGAAGAAAACCTGCCTCAATTATACTTCCAAGCCTGGCACTTTCCCCCTATGGAAATAAAGGATGGGGAGGAAGGCAAAGGTCCCAGGAGCCTCCCACAGATTCTTTTTTTTTTTTTTTTTTTTTTTTTTTTTTGAGAGAGAGTCTCACTTTGTCACCCAGACTGGAGTGCAGTGGCGCGATCTCGGCTCACAGCAACCTCCATAAGTCCTTAATCCAAAATCCTAACCACCCAGAAATGGTACAAAACATTTTGTGCTTAAGTGCATTTTTCTGGGGTGAGGGTCCTGTCTTCCCCACCCTTCCGCACACAGTTAAGAGCCGCCCTCTGTGGGAGCCATGCTCTTTCCCACAGAATGTCAGCAGGAGCTTGGAAGATGATCTGTGCTCCACCCCACATGCCTGCTCTATGGGACAGTGCCCACAGCCGCCAGCCTTCCCCCTTACCATGGAGCCAGGCACACCAGGCAAGCCAGGGCTCCCTGAAGGCCCTGGAGCTCCAGGGTGGCCTCTCTCTCCTGCAGGGCCTGGTGGCCCAACAGGCCCCATGGAACCACTCTTGCCAGGCCCACCAGGCATGCCGGCTCTCCCCTTCTCTCCTGCCTGGCCCTTCTGTCCTGCGGCTCCCGGATCACCCTACAAAGACAGATACTTAGTGCTGTCAAATTTACATCATGATGTCTCACCAATCTGCCCTTTTCTCTCCATCCTCCCACCAGGCCCCCAGTGTCTCCCTCTAGACTGTGGCCACAGCATCCTGACAGGTCACTCCGCCTCACTGCCCCAGAGTGGTCCTTCTAGAAGAGTTCTCCTGGCATTACTCCCTTTACTCTCTGCTTAGAAATTCTGATGGCTCCCAAATGTCCTCAGGATAAAGCACTCATTCGTTGGCTGGGCATGCAAGGCCATTCATGATGTGGTCCTGATCTTTCCTTCCTCAGCCTCCTCTCCCCACCCTCCACCTCCCGCCAGACCTCACTGGTGATAATTCTCTGCTTCTGCCGTGTTGTTGTGGTCCTCCTGGCCTGAAATCCCTTTCTCCTCCTCTCTCTCTACCCAGTGCACCCCTCCAGAGCTGAAGCTCCCGTTCCCGTTCCCTCCATAGCCTCTCCGACTCCCCAGGCTGGGTTAGGTGCTCCTCCCTCTCATCCCACAGCACTATGTCTCATCATCTTCTGGAAAACTTGTCAATCCCTAGTGTAAGTGTGACTGGTCTATTGTGAGCACCTATTGTTCAGGGACCTCTGTTTACCTGAGGCCAGGACAAGAGCCTGGAATGTGAGCAGGAGCAAGGGGGTACTCGGGAAATGGAAGCAATGAATGAATGAATCAGTCAATCACTGTATAAATGAATTGGAGATTTCCTTCCTCACAACCAATAAAAACCTACCCGGGGGGCCGGGTAATGACCCCATAGGAGAAATTTTCAGACATTATGCTGCTCCAAGTTCTGCAATTTTTTCCCTTGCCCAGTGGCCTTCCTGTGTCTCCTCTCTGTGGCTAAAGTCATAACTTGGAGCTGGGCTACATCCACTCATGAGCTTCTCCTCTCAAACCCAGCCAGTGCCCACTCACCTTGGGACCAGGAGGTCCATAGAGTCCCTGCTTTCCAGCGGGTCCCTAGAGGAAAGCAAAAGTCAGAGCTGAAGTCCGGGCAGCATCTCTGAGGCTCCCTGGGGAGGGAGGAGCGGTGAAGAGGCCCTTTCCACAGCCCGAGGCCCCCAAGTGTGTCCAACCAGGCTCTGTGTGAGCAAGGACTGCAGCCTCCCTGCCCGCAGAGGGGCTGACAGCTGGAAGGGAGAGTAATGTCTTCTGGAGCATGGCCTTGTTGAAGCGTGTTGGTTGGGCCCCCATCACAGATGAAGAGAGTCGAGAAGAAGTCAGAATGAGAGGGCCAGTCTGTGGCATACTGGGGGGCCTGGAAAGACCTGGTGCCCAGGAGATGTTTGTTTGGAATTTATTATTATCATTATTATTGTTGTTGTTGTTGTTTTCTTTTTGACCAGGTACAGAGTTTTAAAAAATGGTAAAACAAATCTCACTCCCATCCTTGGCCTCAAGTCTCTAATTCCTCTCCCCAGGACAACAAGGGTTAACAATTTCCTGTATATCTGTCCAGAGATAGTCCGTACATAGACGGAATGTTTACTGAATAAATGAAGAGGAGTCAGGGCAAGGTGAGGAGGGAGAAGCATCCCCAAGGAAACAGAGAAGACCAGTACAACCGTACCTCTTTGCCAGCTGCACCATCCGTACCAGGTTCACCCTGGGGAGTAGACAGCAATGGAGACGTGATGAGCTCCATCCCAGTTTGGTGTCAGATGCCTCGCCGTGTACACAGGGCATGCCCAGCCCCCTGTTCCACCCAGAGGCCACGATCCTCCAGCCCTCACCCTCTGACACTCTGGGCCATGGAAACTCAGACCCCCACCCCCTACTCCAGCCTGATCCCAGAGCCTCAACAGCTCCCAGGCCCCATCTACAAGAGCTTTACAAGGGAAGAACAGACCGTGCCTGCCTTGCTGTGTGCTTGGATCCTGGCACCTTACACACTCCCTGGCTCTGAGTCTATGTTAAACGTTTGCTGAATGAACACATGAGCAGCCTGAGCCGGCCCCCTCCCCGAGACCAGCAAGGCTGCCTCCTTTGGCCAGCCCCCTTCTGATGGCTGCTGGGGAAGAGGACTCTGATTGCTAGGTAAGTGGGAGATTCATCCAGGGGCCATGGAGGCTCCTGAGCCTGCAAAAAGGGAGGCAGGGTCCTTGGCACGAATCAGGGCGAATAGGTGTGGTGAGACTAGGCCCTCCTGGCAGATGGGCTAACTAGAGTCAGACACCCCAGCCCAGGCCACCAGCCGCACGGTCACTGCTGCTGCCCCCCAGAAAAAGTCTGTGTTGACGGAACGCATCCTGATGGGTCCCAGGAGACCTGGGTCCCTGCCTCTGCTCTCCCAGGAGACTTTTCATCCCTGACCCTGGCAATCAGTTGCACCTGATGGGGTTCACCTGTCTGGAACTTTTAAGAGAGGTAGATTTTCAGAGTGGCTAAGGACCAAGTTCTGGAGTCAGGCAGGCTGGGGTCAAGTCAGAGCTCTTCCACTCACTAGCTATGTGACTCCAAGCAACCTGCCTCTAAGGAAACCTTGCAGAGCCCCCGTTTCCTCATCTGTAAAACGGGGACAATCAGATCCACTAAATGGGGCTGCAGCACAGATTAAGACAAAATGCACAGCAAGCACTTAGTCCACCATTCGGCACACATCGATGACCGATATATCAGCGCTCTTAGTGTTAAACGTGAGCTGAGACCAAGTCCTGGTTTCCGAGGACCTCGGGAAGTTACAGTAACAGCACTGCATTTCTGCTTCCTGACATTTAGCAAGATTTTCTGTGGTTACCGACAAGCTGCCCCGGGGAAGGGGCAGGGGCAGAACAGGGACACATAGCCGAGGGGTCTGCAGAAGGTTGATGCTGTGGCACCGTCACAGGCAGTGACCTCGTGTGCAGCCTGGCACAGCACTGCCTTGCAGGGCCTGTTCTTCCAAACTCAGCATGATCCTCAGGCCTGAGCACCACGCTGCCATCCTGCCATGCTGACAGCCTCTCTTTCCTTGGAGACCCCAGATATATTGTGCTGTGCTCAACGGGCCTTAAGCCAACTGACTCTTTCCCCCTGGGCTATGCTGTGGGATGTGGGATCTTACCGGGGGGCCAGGGTGTCCAGGGGGGCCGGGCTGGCCTGGGAGGCCTGCAAGGCCCCTTTCTCCGGTGGCTCCTCGGTCTCCTTTTAGACCCTAGAGAATAGGAAGGGGGACAGTGAGAGGGGAGGGAAGCAGGCAAAATGGACCCCCATGTAGACAGAGACAGACACCCCATCCTGTGCCAGGGACTACAGGGAGAGGTGGCACTGCCTGAACTTGCAACAGGACTCTGAGATGACCTCCAGCCCTCTCCAAAGCCCTCTACCACATCCTGGAAGGCGAGATCTTTGGAGGCCGGAGGGGCTGACGCCAGGGAAGTAGGGGATGAGACAAAGTGTTCTGCATCCCCACACTTGCTCTGAATGGCGCCACAGCCAAGCAGGGCAAAACTCCTGGGAGGGAGGAAGGAGCGGAGTGTGCCACTCACCACTGCAGAGATCCCAGCGGGTCCTGGCTGGCCTGGAGGCCCTGGTGGCCCCTAAAGAGAGATGAGTCAGTGGGATAGAAACAGGTTCTAACAGTAAGAACCCTGGGAGGCACAGGGCCTGACAGCAGGAGCCAGCTCTAAACTGCAGCGCCTCCATTTCCTCTGGAAACCTTCCTTCGCTCTGGTCTTGCACTTGAGCTTCTGACAAGATTTGCGCCCAGAGCTGAGGCCTGGGGGTCCTGGGCACACAGGACCCTCCCTCCAACGCAGGCTGGGTGGAGCATCTGGGGCTGTGCTGAGGGAGATGATCTGAAAGCCATGGCCAGAGGCCAAGTGCAGAGGAGAAAGGCCTGGGGGAGTTACTCCATGGCCTAGGTGGCTACTGAGACCCCTGCTTCCCTAAAGGCAGCCCACTTCCTGCTGGTCTATGGAGAAGGGAAGACCAGGAGCTGGGGGTCTGTGTAGCAGGGGGGGAGGGGCAGGGCTTGGCACTGACCCCGCCATCCACAGTGACAAGGAGCCAACGCTCGCTGGCCAACACTGGGGTGCACAGGACTCCAATACCCAGACAGACCCGGCTGCTGCACTAGGGCGGCATCTAAAATGCCCTCCTCTAGCTCTGATGCCTACATCCATGCCTCTGCAGTGTAAAAGGTCACCTCCCTGGTCAGAGTGACAACTTCTCTGAACCCCCCGGGCACTTGGGTCTCTCTCAGAGCGCTTCCCTTCACACGCCCAGGTGGCACGTTCCAGAGGCCATAGCCTGTGTTCTATTCATCTCCAGTCTCCTGGGGTGGAAGTGTCCAGCATGGAGACTGCCACACTGCAAGACGACGGGGCCAGACGGACAGAAGTGAGAGGCAGAACCCTGCACCCCCTTGGCCCCAGCCCCACTGAGTCTCCAACGGGGCCATGCTTCTGAGCGCGCCTCCCCCTGTCATCTGCAATGTGAGGGGGAACCAGGCTCAATATGGCGTTCCCAATCCAGGGCCTCTGGACCCCTTGAGATGCATAAAAATAGTGATGGGGGCCTGAGAGTTCTTTTTTTTTTTTTGGTCGTGAACTATTTTTAACATTTCCAAGAGCCTTCTGGAAATTATTATGCAGCCAGCCACAACAGGGCTGCAACAAAATGCCAGTATCTTCACTTTTCTCTGGAGTCCCATCAGCTCAGTGCCGTCACACTGATCAAAGGCACTGCCTGGCAGTCGTCTATGTTAGTGATGAGTCAAGTAGACAGGAAATTCATTATTGCTTGATAAATGTCCTCTCCAAGTCACCTCATCTTGGGAAACACACCACCTATTTACCCAGTTGCCCAAGCCAAATGCAGAAGTGACCCCTGGTTCCTCTGTTTCTGTCACTCTGTCTCCCCAGCCCCAATCCAGCTCATCAGCAAGTCCCCCGAGCCTGGCATGGCGCAGGGGCTCCACGATTATTTGTTGACTGAATGACCTTCATCTGATAAGTGAACTTGAATGTGCCCAGAAAATAAGAAAATAACAAAAAGCCTGGAAACCACAGAAAGAGTGGCCCCAGTGCCCCGTCTAGCTCCCATGGCTGGGGCAGCCCCTATGGCAAGTTCTCTCAGGTCATGACAGCCTATGCGCCACCACCCACCCCGCCAAAATGCTAATTCTTATGGAGACAGAGACAAAAGTGGTTCAACTCACAACGTGGCCGGGGGGACCAGGTCTTCCCTGGGGTCCCATGGCACCAGGTTCACCCTGCAGGAGCCAGAAAAAGGAAAAAATGACACTGAAACTGACTGGCTTGCACCATGTGGCTGTCGGGTGGGAGGGGGCTAGGCAGAATAGGTGGTAATGCCAATGGCCAAAGGAGCCGGGCCAATTCCCAGCCTCCAGACCCAAGTCTCCCAGAGAGTTAGGTAGAGAAGGCGGACCCTCAGCCTGAGCAGGCCAGGCCCTGCCTTTTTAGGTTGGCGACCCAGCAACCTCCAGGGAGCAGAACCAGTTACAATCCTTAAGAGGAGAGAGAAAGTTCAAGACGTGCAGTGTTGGGTGACACCCCTCCCAGAAGGCTGAGGACGGAAAGCAGCCAATTTGCCAGTGAGCAGGAAGAAGCAGCTACATCCCAGACTCCTCAGAGTCCAAAGGCAAACTGAAGGCAGCCGTGTGGATCCCTGGTCCTCACCTCTGCGCCAGGCCGGCCAGTGCTGCCAGGGGGACCTGGTTTGCCACAGTCACCCTAGAAGAGAGAAGAACAGCTGGAGCTCACCAGACCTTCACTTGACGTCCCTACCCCAAGTCAACCTCACATCAGAGGGGCCCTGCCACCTGCCCCAGCTTTGGCCAGAGGCCCTCTGATGCCCTCCAGCTGGTAGACAGAGAAACCCTGACCCAGTCTGCTGCCAGGCACCGGTGGCCCCAGAGGCTCTGATGCTGGGATGGCCTCTCTGCCCAGGATAGGCTGCCATGTCCGCCTGGGGGCAGGCCTTCAGGAAAGCAGACACAACCTGCTTGGCAGAGGTCACCAGCCCTTACCTTAGGTCCTGGGAGGCCAGGATGTCCTGTTTTCCCCTTGAAGCCCTGAAAGAAAAGGCAGGGAGTTCTCCTGTCCCTCATGTCAGCTGGGGCCTCTTCCCACTCCTCCTTCCTCAGTTCAAACCATTCAAACCAATCCAAAGTCATAACACGGTCCATGGAAGATCTGGATTTGAGCTGTTGCAGCCACCCAGACAGAAGCTGCAACTTCGCAGCTTCCAACTCCTTCCTCCAGCTCAACTTACCGGTGGTCCCATGAGTCCAGGGGGGCCAGCAGGACCAGGGTCCCCCTAGGAAAAAGAGACGAGGAGGATTGAGACAAGAATTTTGCTCAGCTTGTATCCAACTCATACCACTGTCCTCCCCTCTCTCAAGCCCTCCTCAGCTATCCCAGGATGGAGGGAAGAATCCAAACCTGGCTCAGCCTCTGACTGGCTGTGGATCCTCAGTGACTTCCAGCCCCTCTCTGGGCCTTAGCTTTCCTTCTTTGGGATATATAAGGGGGCTGACTTTGATATTCTACCCTGTCCCATGGCCCCAGCCCTTTCAGATTCCCCAGCAAAACCCAAGGAGCCAGGGCTTGCTCAAGTCCTTCCATGTCCACACCCTGATTCTTCCTGAAGCCCAGCCTGGTTTCCTCGGCTGTCTGAGTTTCTGCATACATAGTGCCTTCACCATCTGCCTTTGGTGAGACCTAGCTCGCCTAACCTGCTTAAGGCCACTAGGAGAACTGGGAAGCCAAGGGGCTGTGATGCCATCGGGGAGCTGGAGTGCAGAGAAAGACAGACCAAGGGAGGGCATGGGTGCCTCCTGACAAAGACAGGGATACGTTGGTTCTTTCCATCAAGGTTACCTTGACTTTGGCTCCCTTGGCAAAAAGGAGGGGAAGGGATGCTTGCCCTCCCGGCCCATCATCTCACCCTCAAGCCAGGCTTGCCGTCCTTCCCATCCAGACCATCCAGACCGGCGGGGCCCTGGAAACAGGAAAGAGGCATTTCTGCATGCTGGTGCGGGAGCCCTAGGAGGTGGGAGACCTGGCCCAGCCCCTCAGTTCTCTCCACCCCTCCCCTGACTCCCATCCCAGCACACACACACGTGCACCACACACGTGCACCACACACATGTGCACACACCCCACACACCTGCCACGCTAAAAGGGCACACACTCACCTGAATCCCAGGAGGTCCCGGTGGCCCAGGGGAACCAGGCATGCCTGATGGGCCTCGAATCCCTTCACTGCCCTGGAAACCATCCCCCCCCCACCAATAAAGTCATCAGGGCTTTGCCCTCCCTGTGGAGACCAGGCCCTGGGTCAAGGGTCCTGGTGACTGCTGGAATCAGGACAGCTGGCTTCTGGGCCCAGTCTGTCCCTGTCTAACTGCATATGTGCCACTCATTGCCTCCCCAGGAGGATCTGTCTTCATCTGCAAAGCATCCCCTTTCCTTGCTGCCCCATGAGGAAGGGACAGGGCATCTTCTCCAGTGCTGACCCAGGGGCTGGCATGGCAGGGGCTCAGTAGCATGTGCTGAACTGAAAGCACAGCTTCAATCCACTGCGAATGCTGCCTGTTGCATTCTACTCCTCCATCAGACCCTCTGCCTCCTCCCCACCTACCTCCCTGCCTTTCCCCCCACCCCAATAGACATGGGCCGGGGCTGCACAAAGGCCTCAACAGCGCACCCAGTGCCTTGTGGGCTCTGATTCCCCAAGATGAAAAAGTGGGTGCCCCTGTCCTCAAGGAGCTCACAATCCAGTGAGGGTCACGGGCCCAACACAACCAGGGGCAATACAACAGTCCATGTGTTCTGTGTGGAAAGGAGCTGAGGGAGCCCAGAATGGGGAGCAGTTCCCTCTGGCTGGGGATCAGGGAAAGTGTCACAGAAGTGTCACCAGACGCTAGACTCTGGGATTGGGCAGGTGGAAGAGAAAAGCACATGCCAAAGGGAACCTAAGAGAAGGATAAAGATTTGCAAGTGGTCACATGCCTGGCCTGGCCAGGGTGTCTGGGGGAGCCTGTGGGACGGGCCAGCAGGCAGAAGAGGCTGGAAGAGTCACCTTAATGAGTGGGGGCCCTGAACGCTGTGCTAAACTTTATTGAACAGTCAGTGGTTTTTAAGCTGTACTTCTCAGAGCGCTGGGGCTCCTGTGGGAGTCTCGAAGCTGGGGGCATGAAGTGGGGACTGAAGAGGGGGACTCCAGGACCCCCACCGTTGTCTCAGCCAGGGAACTCCACTTGTGTTTGTTTTGTAGATTGAGGTTTTTACATTTGCTTTTATGTGATAAAAAGGCTCTGGGACTACAAAATAAAGTCTAAAAAACCCCTGCTACAGGCACTGGGGAGCCACTGAAGGTTCAAAGCAGAAGAGTGATGAGAACTGATGCATGGATTGGAGTTTACTAGAAAAGGCAGGGGGAGGCAAGCAGCATAGCAGGGGAGGCTGCTGCATTCTCCCAGTGTGGAGAGGGTGGCTGCCCTGGATCAGTGGCTGTAGGGTGGTCAAGGGAAGGGATCCCACTAGAGAGACTCAGCAAAGGGGAAAAAGAACTTGGGGGGGCATTGCAATGCCACCAGCCACCAGGAGGGGTCAGCACAGCCCCAACCAATGTTGGCCCCCACTGGGAGTTGGGATGAAGAACCACTGGCCAGAGGTTTGGGATTCTCTGCAATGACCAGCCTAAGGAGAGCAGGGGCTGCCACTCAGGTCCTCTGCAGGGAAGGCAAGTGAAGAGAGCTAGCAACCACCACTGTCCCAACCATGGCTGATCAGCGTGGGCTCTGGGGAGGTAGTGAGGGTCCCAGGTCCTCCTGGAGCTGGGAAGGAAGTCTCAGCTCTGCTGCTAACACCACTGTGTGCCTCTGGGCTGCCCCAAGCCTTATGGGCATCAGTTTCCTCACCTGCACAGTGAGACGTTCATGTGTGTGCTCTCAGGGGAAAGAGGCTCTCCACAAGGCTGTAGGCTCCTACCTGTCCCTCTGGACCCAGATGCCCCCGACCCCCAGCTCAGAAGTCAATCTTGGGGCTTCTTATACCACCCACTCAGCACATCTAGGGAGCCCAGAGGTTGGGCCGAGACAGGGATGTCAGCCCCAAACCAAGGCAGAGCCATGTCTCCAGCATTTATCAAGCCAAAGTCAAGAGCAGCCAGCATAGCAGCTCCCCCAACTGCTGCTCCCCCAACCCTTGCCACCAGGCAGGACACAGGCCACCCCTGCCCTCTCTGGGCCCTTGGGGACAACTGGAGCATGGCTACCCAGGAGGAGCCCATTCCCCTTCCACGTTGGTGTCCTCCTTCAGGACGTGCTTCCCCTTCTCTCAGCTCCTTGCTCGTCCTCCCGCCCAGGAGACGAAGGTGGCCTGGGCTGCCTGTCGCATTCTAGTCCTCCATCAGACCGCCGCCTCCTCCCCACCTACCTCCCTGCCTTCCCCCCCATCCCAGCAGACAAGGACCTGGGCTGAACAGAGGCCGCAGGCATCCTGGGCCAAGCAGACATCCCGAGGAGCCCACTGGTCCGCTGCAGGCCGTGTCAGCCTCCAGTAGTCACTGGGCCCATCCTGGAGGCCTCTTTTTCCAGCCTTGATGCAACTGGGTCAGTCTTGGAATTTCCTGAAAGCCTGATGCTAGGGGTGGGACAAGGGCATGGGAGCTGCATGGCTCAGATCTGTGACTTTGGCCAGCCCGGGGTCCTGCTCACCTTCTCTGCTTGAGGGCCAGGTGGGCCAGGTGCTCCAACTTTGCCTGGGAATCCAGGGGGACCCTGTATCAACAAAGGGGCAGGCAGGAATGAAAGTGGGGCTGGAGGGGGAGCTCCCCTTCTTTCTTCTTCCTGTGTGTGATGCACTGTTGTTAATGCAATTCATTTCGACTTCCTAGAAGCACCACCCGGGAGCATGACATCTGCCGGGCCTGCCGGGCTGGGGCCCACCCAAGAGGCTGGGCTCTCAGGTCCTGGTTCCTGGAATCAGGCCTGGCCACCCAGGCCGTTCTCCCCTGCCTCTCCCCTCTTCTCCCCAGGACCATCCTCCCCTAGCCTGGCCTGGTCAGGCCTGCCCCTCCCGATGAGACCACATCAGACAGAGCCGGCTTTGTGTCTTCTTCACTCACCGGTGGGCCCGGAAAGCCTGGCTGGCCTTGAAATCCCTAGGGTGAGAAGCAAGGGACAGTGTACTGTGCCACCCCCTCTCTCCTGCCTGGCTGCCCAGGAGGAAAGAGTGACAGGTGGGGCACCCTCAAACCCACGGGCGTTGCTCTCCCCTCGGCCCACCATGGCTGGCAGGTAAGGCTCTGGGCATGAGGTAGGTAACAGCCCAAGGACAGGTAGGGTGGGGAGACTAGAGCTGGTGATCATCAGGGACCCAGCCCCTTCTCTGCCTCCCTGCAGCCGGGTCCCAATCGTCACTCACCTGGTCGCCCTTCTCACCCGAGTTCCCTTGGGGTCCTCGCTCTCCTCTGGGACCCTGTCACCCACAGAGAACAATGCAGCCGAAACCTAATCTTCCTGCCCTCAGATCCCAGGACAAGATCAGGACTACGTCTCCCCATGCCCTCCTTCACTCACCGCTGGGCCTGGGGGGCCCGGGAGGCCTTCAGATCCTGGGGGGCCCTAAGGACACAAAGGAACAGAATCAGTCACTCCTCCTGGGGAGGTGAAGGATGAGGTAGGGGGATGTGACAGGGGACTGCCTAGAACAGAGGCAGCACATGCTGGGAGGCCCCTGAGCTGGCAGGCCCCCTCTGCCTGGTCTGCTCAGGCTTCCCTGCTCTTGCCTGAGCTGCTGAACCAGCCTCCTAACTTGTCCTGCCACCTCCTGGTTCACTCCAAGTCAGGCAGCAAATGGCTGCCCTCTTCTCCTCCGACACAGCTCTGATTATGTCACTCTCTTGCTCAAACACCTTGTGCGGCTCCCTCTGCCTCTGAGTGGGGCGCACACTTCCCAACAACGTTGGTCTTTGAGGCAGCCTGTGATCTGGCACCAGCCACCCTTTCCCACTTCTCCTCCCTCTCTCCTTCTCATCTTCCGCCTTGCTCAGTCAGACTGCTGTTCTCTGACACAATCTATACCCTCCCACCCCCAGGCCTTTGCACCCTTGGCACAGCTTTCCCTCCTACCTAGAATGCCCCCTTCTCCCCGTTCTAGGTCTCCTGAACTCTTGCCAAATCATTTGATGGCTGGAAGCTGTTCCTGCAGTGCCCCGCCCAGCCTCTCCCTCTGGAATTCCCCAGTACAGACAGCCACAGGGATCCCTCCCTCCTGCTAGTCAGCTCTAAGCTCAAATGCCACCTGCTCAGAGAGGCCTTCCTGCCCCTCCGCTTCGATGGTGCCCAAACACCTCTCCAGCCCCTTCCGCCGTCCCACTTCCTCCAGGAGTCCCAGCCCTCATCGTTCCTAGGCACTTGTTTATTCATCTGGCAGCTGCCTCCCCCATGGCAGGGCAAGAGGGCAACTGCCTGCTCTGTTCACGGAGACATCCTCAGAGGGGAGCCCGGCACCCCGCAGGCCCCTGAGAAATATCTGTTACTGAGTAAATGCCTGATGGGGTTTGCTGAATTCTACTGGGGCCTCACTGAAATTGGTGACTCTGTAAGGCTGCAGTCCCAGTTTGACTGATCCTAGATCTGAGGTTTGTGAGGTTTGTCACCAGATAGATGTGGGTTCAAGTCCAGGTTCCACCACTGACTCACTCACTAGCTTCGGGACCCTGGGTGAGTCTCAGCTTTGTCACTCTGGGGGCCCCAGTGTCCTCTTCTGGTCACAGCCCAACTCCCGTGCTCAACATGGGGCCTGGCAGGCCTTGGCTCTGGAGGGTGGTTCTGGGGGGCCTGGGGACCACTGGGGGTCTACAGTCCCAGGTCCTCCTTTGCGTGAGGCAGAGGAATGCTTCTGCAGCTGCCTCCTGGCCCCCTCCCCTTGGCAGCCCTGCGGGGATTCTCCTCACAGCCTCCACCTCCGCAGGGCCCAGCCTGTGCTGCAGGCTCGGGGGCGGGGGCGGGGGCGGGGGCGGGGGGGCAGCAGGGGTCACAGTCCTCCCCTTCACAGGCTGCTGCCAAGTCTCTAGCCGGAGGCTGTGCAGCTCCACGTGCAGCCCTGCACCCGCCCCCGCGCTGCTGGGACTCACCGGCTCTCCTTTCTCTCCCGCTGACCCGGTGTAGCCACGTTCCCCCTTGATGCCCTGACAAGTGGCAAAGAGACAGTGGAATTAGCCCCGCAGAATTAGCCCGTCACGGCGCTAATGCGAGGAGTGGAGACTGTAGCTGGCACCCAGACCGGCTCTGGGGGGATGGCACTGGGAGGACTGCTGGGGGCTCCAAAGCTGCCGTGCCTCCCACCAGCCACCGTGCCCCCCAAGCCCCCATTGGAAAAGGAGGACACACCCACCCAGCAGCTTCTGTGGGGGTGGCACCTCTAAGCTGTCTCTCCAATCTCCCAAACCCCCCATCCCCAGGAGGCAGATCTCAGTTCTTGCCGTGTCTGGGCCTGGCAGAGTGTTCTGAGAGTCAGGCCTGAGCAGAGTGGTGGGACCAAGCCACGCTGCAAGGGGGCCTACAATGGGGACAGGAGGCTGCATGGACTTTAGGCAAAGGAAGAGGCTGAAATGCCCGTGAATGGGGAGCCCGCCGAGGGTTGCCCAGCCTGGCTCTGTCCTGACCACCAGCCCAAGCCTCCGGTATCCAGCACCCACTCCCCAGCAAGAGTCCCCTTACTCACAGGCAGTCCTGGGGGGCCCATGGCACCCGGGTAACCTGGTTGCCCTGGAGGACCCTACGAAGAAAGGCAGACATGATGGATAGCCCCCCAACATTTCTGTTCTCCCCTCGCTGGGTAAGAGGGTAGCCAAAGCTAAAACCTCTGGGGCTGCCATCTAGCAGGTGCCAGCCTGCCCCAGCACTGCACACTGGGCCATCTCCCCAAGCCCCAGGTCCCCTTGGTCGTGACCTCCACCACAGACCTGGGCTGGGGGTGCGAACCCCAGCCTGGCCCAGACCCTGACAGCTGAGCCGGAACAGGGATCCCAGAGCAGGCGTGAGGACCAGGGAAGAGGGGGTGGGCAGGGATGCTGAGTGACGAAGGCGGAGGGCGGGAGGGGAGCCCTCAGGGACGCTGCTGGAGGACAGGGGCTATGCATGCTTCTGGCAGGGAGTCAGGGCACATGGAGATCGGCCTCCTTTGCTCCTGGGGGAGTGTGGAAACCTCACACTGAGGGAATCCTGGCAGAAGGGCAGAGAGTCATAAGGAGTCCACCTCCCAGCTTCCACTCAGCAGCCACCCCTCGGAGCCCAAGCTCTGCCTCCCCAGCTCTTCCTCCTTTTCCAGCCCCTGCCAGCTTCCTCTTACCGGCTCCCCCTTGTCTCCAGTCAGGCCTGTGAGGCCTCGCTCTCCTTGAAGGCCCTTGGAGAGAAAAATCATGAGAAACTGCAGGAGCGGGCTGTCCCCACCCAGCCCCTGACTCCTTCCCCCTGCCCCACTGCCTTCTGTTCCCACTCCAGGCAAATGTGGAGGCCAAAGTGGCTCTCTAGTATCCCTAGCAAGGTGACCCGTAAGGGTGTGCTCCAGCAGGATGAGTGGTAGAGGTGTGAACCCCCACATATGGGTGCCTTTCAGGAGGATACTCTGCAAGACAGGTAACTGTAGAGATATGCCCTCCAGTGGGGGTGACTCTGGGAGGGTACCTCTCAGGTGCCCGTCACTGGTATGCCCTGCCATGGTAACTGACTGGGGTACACCTTTAGGAAGCTGACAGATCAGATGTGTGCTCATTCTGAGGGGCAACCATCAGGAGAGGTACCCCAGATGGATGCTGCCACCAAAGTGTATCACATCATCAGACACCCAACACTTACCTGTCCAAGTCCCCCACCCCAAGCCAAAGATCACTTTCTTGGAGGGAGGCAGGGGAGAGACACAGGCAGGCTGCCTCCAGAGCAGTCCGACATTTTGTAGGGTGAGAGGGCATGTCACTTTCCACGAGAGCTACAGCCCCCACCCCTAATTCCTTACCCCGGCCTTTGCGGGTGCCACGCCATTACGGGCATCTTTTGTGCCCCCTTCTCCCTCATCCCCTCAAGAGACGGCGCCCAAACCTTTCCACGACACAAGACAGATGGCTAGACGGACAGATGGCCCCTTCACCCAAGCAAGCAGAAACAGACAAGGCCCGGCCACAGATGAGGAGGTGGGGACAGATGGAACTGTGACGAGGAGGGGCCCTGCTCCTTGAGCCTCCATCACCAGGCCTGGGAGGAGAGGAGCCAGGACCCAGGAACACGCAACCTGACAAACAGGAGGTTAGTTTCCGTGACCCAGGAGGGAGCAACAGTGAGGCTGGGGGTGATGTAAACACACCTGTGACGATGACGAAGGCAGAGCAATTAACGACACCTGGCAGAAGGAGCCGGCCAAGGTGCCGGGCACAGAGGGGCAGGGCCGCACGACACCCAGAAACCCAACTGGCTGGTATCACATGCCCCGCCTTGGAGCAGACTGGGACTGGAGCCAAGGAAGAGGAAGGGAAGAGGAGGCAGCTGAGAGTTTCCTCTAGGACGATGGAAAAGGTGCAGGAAGGGCTGCCTTTAAATCCCTGGGTGCCTCTGGACAGCCCTGCCAAGCAGCAGGGCAGCAAACCTGTGCCAGCCTGCAATGTGAAGCCCTAAAGCTTTGGCATCTCTGCTGGGCTCTGAGCCAGGTGCCTGGCAGGGTCCCAAGAACTACTTTCAGCAAATCTTCAGGCAACACCGAAGGTGGTGAGAAGCAGGAGGCAGAGTGAGAAGGCAGGAATGGAGGAGCCCCCTAGAGGCACCAGCTTAAGAGGGAGGTTCACAAGCTCAGGAGGACTTGCGGGAGTGCTGCAGGATGGTGGGAGAAATGGAGAAGGAAGACAGAACGTGGTAAGAGAGAGAAGAGGAGAGAAAGAACACAGGAGAGGAGGGAGAGGAGAAAATGAAAAGGAGTCAGAGACTGGGAGGATGTCCAAGCTGCTGTGACCTCAGAGAACCCGTGTCGTTAGCTACCGTGCCTGAAGGGGGACAACAAACACGGAGGACGGAGGTGAAGGCACGACAGGAGGGAGACAAGCAAAAGCCACAGAGACCTGGCTGATGGGGGGAGGGGAGGTCGAGCAGCGCTAGGTTCTTACAGGCAATCCGGGGGAGCCAACAGCACCAGGAAAACCTGGGGGGCCCTGGTGGGAGAAACAGGCAGGTCACATCTCGTAGGCACAGTAACCCTGGACAGCCTGGAGGGCACAGTCTGGGGCTTGGGGGTCATGGGGAGAGGAGGTCATGGGAGTATTTTCAAGGCAACTGGAAAAGAGACTCCTTGAAAGTCTTGGCTCAAAAGACAACTGTTCCTCCCTTGGCTCCGGGAAGATGGGCTCCTCCGTTGACAGAGATGCGGAACCGCTCCAGAGTCAGAGTGCTTCCTGAGTCTTCCGGAGTCTAACTGAAGACCCGGTTGCCGCAGAAGCCCGTTTCTTTCAGCCTTGCCCACCATGCCTGCCACCCGACCTCCAACTGTCCCCCGAGTGGGGGCTCCCTGGCTCTAAGACAGCTCCCACCAGCCATTTTCTTCTCCAAAGAAAGCATTTTCAGTTCTTTCAATCTTTCCTAGTCACTTCTATTTTCCTGCCATGTCGACATCACAGAGGACTCCAGAATAGATGCCCTGGTCTGGTTTTTGTAGATTTACCCTAGAGATGGCCCTACAGAGCAATGGAGGACAGCTCCATCTAAGCCCCGAGCCCTTGTGGGGACTGGCATCACAGGGGCATGGAGAGGTCTGGCCGGCATGCCGCGTGCTTCCCTGGCTGGGAGGCTGGGAGCCTGAAGCCTAGGCCCCCTGCTGAGGGCAGCCTGGGGCCACTGTGGAAAGCGCAGCAGGGGGTGGGGACAGGGAAGCAAAGATGTGCCTCTGAGGACCTCCCCTAAGCAGGACCATAGGCAGTGGGCAGAGCAGGGTGGTTCCAGGGCATTTGGTGGTAGGAGAGCACAGTTCCTGCAGATGTTCTGTGGAGGGACGGGGAGGGCAGTGGAAGTTCCCTCCTCCTGCCTTGCCCAGCCTTTTGGGGACAAGGTCGCAGGATGGTGTCTGAGCGTAACGACCCCTTTGAGAGCCTCTCAAGCAGGCCAGGGCACCACAGATACTTACAATAGGGCCTGGAGGACCCGGGGAGCCCCTCATGCCAGGCGGACCCTGCAAAGGAAGCCAAGGGAAATGGATGAAGAGGCCCAGGCCCCATAGAGCCCCCGGGGTTCCAGCAGCTTTCCTCCCAGCTTGCCAGGGCCAAGGTCAACAGAGGGCAGCTGTTGTCCAAGCAGAACAATCTTTCATTTGGCTCATTCAATCATCCTACAAACATTTATTGAGCAACTATTATGTACCAGGCATTAGTCCAGGGGCTAGGATCACAGCATAAACAAAATAAATAAAAACCCTTGCCTCAAAGCAGTTACATTCTAGGGGAGACATGGACACTAACAAATAGAATAGGAGCTGGCACATAGTGGTGTTGAGTTGACACCTGTGGAATGTTCCTGAATGAAGTAAATAGGCAGGATGCTGGAGGGTGATTAGTATGATGCAGGCCAAGGGGACTGGAGGCTCTGGGGTTGGTGTGGTGTTCAATTTTAAAGAGGGTGGTCAGGGGAAGTCTGAGAAGGAGACACTTGGGCAGAGCTGAAGGAGTGCAGGAATGAGCCCCAAAGAGTGTTGCAGGCAGAGGACACAGCTGGGCACTGGGAAGGAAGAATGTGTCCTACCCTGGGTCCTGTGTATCCCAGAGGAGCCATGTGCCAGGAGAGCAGATGAGTCCAGAGTGGTAAAGGGCATCAGTCACGTGAGGCCTCAGAGGCCCCCAGAAGGTCTCAAAGGCAGACAGGGCCCCAGCCCCTTTAAGGGTGAAGCCTCATCCCTAGTCTTACCTCTTCTCCTCTCTGGCCTGGCAATCCCGGAGGACCAGGCAGGCCTGGGCTCCCAATGCATCCGGGATCTCCCTCATTGTTGTCGCCCTGGAAAAGGATGGAGATGGTGACAGTGGGCAATCAGGGCCTCTTTCTGTGGGGCATGGGGCATGGTCAGGGGAGATAAGGCGAGGCACTCACCCGGGCCTCCTCGGCTCTTGGGCGCTCCAGCGACAAAAAGCACTGCAAGGGACAATGAGAGGCACTCTGTCTGATGAGGCAGCCAGGGAGCCCTCCCACACGGGGCGGCCTCAAGCCCGGTCCCTACCTGGGCGCAGTTGTCGAGGCCTAGCACACCAGGGATGCCCTGGTCTCCCTTCTCTCCCTTCTCCACGAGGTATGCTGGGTGGGCCCTCTGCCCCTGGACACAGTCCCCGCAGATACTCTGATCAGGGAGTGGGGAGAGGAGTGGGGTCTGGGTCAGAGAAGGCCAGGATGGGCCAACTGGGGAGCCCACCTGAGAACCCAGAGCCGGGGCTCCCTGCCCCGCAGTCTTCCCTCTTCCCACACTCCCTCTCTCCCCAGCCACATCCCTACGGCAGCTTTGCTCCATCCTCGGGGGACCCACTCCCATCAATTGGCTTTGAGTTTCCTCCAGGAAGAAGCTCTGGTAGAGCTAAGCCAAAGCCACTTTCCAGACAGGCGTGTGGGCGGAGGCGAGGGGCCCGCAGAGGGACCATCTGTCCCGGCTGTTCCTGCAACCTGCACCCACTGCGAGGACAAGCCACGAGGAGCGAGGCTGGAAAGGCTGGCTCCGAATGCCAGCTTCTCTGCCCAAGGGAGCAAAGGAACAGCTGCAGGAGGAGCCAGGCCCTTCCCAGGAGCCCCTGGGACAGATCTCGGATTGCTCACAGGCTCCTGGCTCAGATTGCGCCACCAGAATTGTCTTCCCCACAGGAAGGGGTTTAACCTTCTTTAGGTCACAGACCCCTCTGAGAGTTTGATGGAAGCTGTGGGTCCTTTTCCCAGAAAAATCAAACCCACTAGTGAAAACCAGCCTGTAGTTTCTGAGGACTCAGGAGCCTGGAGCCTGTCTGTGGCCAGTGTGGCGTCCACAGACGCCCAGGCAGGAGCCCCTGCTCACTTTCACTGCTCACCACCAAGCCCAGTGATCATGGCTGGCATTTACTCAGCACCCATGACGCTGGGCACTGTACATAATAAGCCCTGCACATGATCACATCCCATCGTGACGGTGCAGTGAGGCAGGGAATCTATAAGCAGTGTGGAGATGGGAAAGCCAGCACTCAAGACAGGCGGCGTGACTTGTCTGAGGAAAGTGGGAGTCTGGATTGGCGTGGGCCTGTCCTAGGCCACAGTCAGCACTCTCTCCCCAGGCTTCCTGGACTGTGGGTGCAGGTGGTGCTGGGGCTGGGTCAGCATGCCCCGGGGTGCCATCTGACCCCTTCTCCACACTATGCACAGTTTCTATTTGGGATCCTCTGAAGAGCACCTGATGAAGATGCCAGCAGATGAAATGTTACAGGAGAAATGTCAAATCCTGGATTTGGAGTCACACGATCACTGCCCAGTCATTGACAGAAGCAGAGGGGAGAAGAGCTTGGGGTTTTGTTGCCACAACCCCACTGTAATCCAACATGTAACTATTCCCTAGAGATTACCCGGACCTCCTCTGGCTGCTTCTGGAGAAATCTGCCGTTCAGAGCAGGGGAGGGATAGAGAGTCCCCACGCTCTGCCCTGACCAAGGCCCATCAGGGTCACAGGATGTCCAGGGCACTGACTAGCCAGTGTCAGAAGAGGGTGGCCAGGATGAGGGGGGCTCTGGAGGCCAACACATGGGAAGGACTCCTGAGGATGCTGAGTCAGAGGAGAGAAAGTCCAGGAACATAAGGGCCTCCTTCAAAAACCTGAAGGCAACCTGGGGAATTACTGTGCTCTCGTTTCTAGAGGTGACTAAGCAAAGATGGGCTATGCAACCCTTGATTCCAGTCGGAACTTCTGCTCAGTTTGGGAAGCCGGACCAGGCCCCAGCCCTCTGGTAGGGTATTAAGGCTGTGTACAGGCCCTGGCACAGGCCGACCCTCTGACCAGGTCCGAAGTCCCCTTTCTTGGACTACCAGAAGGGCTTCTCAAATCCATCTCCTCCCTGGATTCCTTCTGGATTGACTAGAGAACAGCTGAAGCTTTCTTCCAGGCCACACCCAATCTCACAGCCCCCTACCACTGCACTTTCCCCCCCCTGCTTTGCTTTGGAAGCTGCTGGGCTCTGCCGCGGTGTGACCCGGGTGCCACGCGGTCTCATTGCCAGCTGCTGCGGGCAGGCTTCAGGGCTGGGTTCTGCCGACAGCATCTGCCATGTGGGCACCGTCACAGGATTCCTTTAAGCACTCATTCAGCAAATGTTGCCTGGGGGCCTGTTACAAGCCAGGCATCAGCTAGGCCCTCATAGACAGATGCTTGGAACGCGTATTCCCTGCAAACTGCTGCTCTCTCTGCGAGGTGCCACACAGCTGAGCACTTACTGAGAGAATCCCCTTAGGAGACACCCCCGCCAGCTCACACTTCTCTCCTGGGTACCCTCTTACCTTAAGGAGGTGCTGTTCAATTGGTAAGGATCCCTGCAAGAGACAGATGTGTGGGCTCAAGCAGGTGAGGGGAAGGGACATGGAGACTTATGGGATCAGGTAGAGCCTTGGCACATGCCATGCACCTTCCAGCCTCAGAAAGGGGAGAGAAGAGGGACCCCCACTGCAGCTACCGGGCCAGCTTCATAGCTTGAGCAGCCCTGGGAGGGGCAGGGAAGGGGCATGGACAGGGAGTCCTGGCTGGTACCCACCAGTTCCGCAGTGAGCCCAGGCTGTCCTGGCAAACCGTTGTTTCCAGGCACTCCCTGTAGCCAAGAAGAGACACGAGTGAGTGGGCTCCATCTCTCTAGCCTGCTGGTCAGCCTGTTTCCTTCTCATCACCCCGCCTCCTCTTCCCCTTGTCCTGCAGGGCTGAGAGCCCTGGTTGGCACAAGGCTGACATCTATTCTTGGCTCAAAAGCCTCTCGACCCTCTTTATAGGGAAAGCCAAGGAGGCCCAGAAGAGTGACCCCCCCAAACCAGTCCAACAGCGAGTGTTTTCCCCACACACCAGAGGAAGGTCAGAAATTGAGTAGAGGGTCTTCCATGGAACTACTGTTTATTTCTGTGCTAAGTCATTTTTCTATATTTTCTCTTTCTCTTTCTTTTTCCTTTCTTTTTTCTTTTCTTTTTTTTTTTTAGAGACGGGGTCTCACTCTGTCACCCAGGCTGGAGTGCAATGGCATAATTATAGCTCACTTAGCCTCGAACTCAGCTCAAGCGATTCTCCCACCTCAGCCTCCTGAGTAGCTGGGACTAGAGGTGCTCACCACCACGCCCGGCTAATTCTTTTGTATTTATTGTAGAGACCAGGTCTCACTGGTAGGCTGGTCTCAAACTTCTGGGCTTAAGTGATCCTCCCACCTCGGCCTCTCAAAATGTTGGAATTATAGGCATGAGCCACCACACCCAGCCTACTTTCTCATTTAATCATCACAGTTATCTTGTTGAACTAGGTGCTGTTATCTCCATCTTAAAAATAGCACAAAGAATCCAGAGGAGGCCGGGTGCGGCGGCTCACACCTGCAATCCTAGCACTTTGGGAGGCTGAGGCGGGCGGATCACCTGAGGCCAGGAGTTCAAGACTAGCCTGGCCAACATGGCGAAACTCTGTCTCTACTAAAAATACAAAAATTAGCAGGGCTTGGTGGTGTGTACCTGTGGTCCCAGATACACGGGAGGCTGAGGCAGGAGAATCACTTGAACCTGGGAGATGGAGGTTGCAGTGAGCCAAGATCATACCACTAAACTTTAGTCTGGGCAATCTCAAAAAGAAAAAAAGAGAACCCAGAGTAAGTACTTGCCAAAGGTCACAAGTTGAGCAAGGCACAGAGCTGAGGTCCAGAGCGAGGATCACTGGCTTCTAATCCCTCTCTTAACCACGATTCCAGCATCAGTCCTCAACAGACATCCTCAGAACATTCACGGACACAGCAAGGGTGGGTGCTTGCCAGTCAGATTCATCTAGATACAAAATTCTGACTACCTGTGTAACTTTTGGCAATTTATTTGGGGGAAGAAATTCTATGCCTCAGTTTGTAAAACAGGGATAGTTTATGGTGAGGCTTCAAGGAGACAATGGCTGCAAGGATGGTTACGTTAGATGCATGTCATCCGGACACTGTTCCCCTTGCAGATTCCTGAGGCACATTTGCATATTAAACACTCCATGGAGGCAGGGAGTATGTTCCATTTTGAATCCCCAGTGCCCGACATGGAGGAGGTGTGCATTAAGTACGTGTTGAGTGAATGCACTGCTGCTCAGCCTGCTCCTCCCTGCACAGGATTTCCTTGGCGCACTCTGAGATATGGCCTCCCTTCAAGTCCCAGCTCCCAGCAATGGAACATATCACCAGCCCCCGAGCAATTTCCAGGCAGACTCTACCAAGCCTGGGTCAGACCTGGAGCCAGCCACTATCCAGCCGTGCTGGCATCTCCGTGCACCATCAGGGCTTAGAGCAGTGCCTGGCACAGGGAAAATGCCTTGAACATGTGAACTATTTTTATTTATTTATTTATTTATTTATTTATTTTGAGATGTATCACTCTGTCTCCCAGGCTGGAGTGCAGTGGTGCAATCTCAGCTCATCGAAACCTCCGCTTCCTGGGTTCAAGTAATTCTCCTGCCTCAGCCTCCCGAGTAGCTGGGATTACAGGCATGTGCCACAAAACCTGGTTAATTCTTTTTGTATTTTTAGTAGAGATGGGGTTTTGCCATGCTGGCCAGGCTGGTCTCGAACTCCTGACCTCAAATGATCCGCTGACCTCGGCCTCCCAAAGTGCTGGGATTACAGGCATGAGCCACCATGACGGCCCAAACATGTTGATTATTATGCCCTAAATCATTATTCATCCCCTGCTCCCCTCTCCATGGCCAGTGTGTTAGTTCAGGCCTGATGTTTTGTAATTGTTTACCCAACCTCCCAGAACTAAATGTTCTACCTGCTGTCCTACTGTGGAAGCGAAGTGCAGCCAGAATTGAAACCTAGGCTCAATGACCTACTAGTTGCCTCAGGCAACTTTCTTGACCTCAGTGCCTCAGCTTCCTCCTCTGTGAAATGGATTGAGATGAAATGAGATAACTAAGCACTGGGACTATACGGCCTTGGATGAGTAAGTGCTGTACATCCCTGAGCCTGTGTCTATACTTCAATAAAGGAGCTGCTCGGTCCTTCTGGATCCCACCTGGCATGGGGCAGGTGCCTGCCAGCAGCAGCCTCGGCTTGGTCTCACGCGCTGGCACTAGGCGAGGACTCTGGTGCCTGGGACCAGACTCAGCAGTCACTCTTTTCTGCCTCATTCCCCAGCATGTCTTGGCAGGGTTCACGCTACATCAGCTCTCACTTATTAATGGGTCACTTTGAAATGACTCTTATGCTTCCCCAAGGAAACTGCAAGCCCTCTGCAGACAGAATCCTGTTTCCTGGCAGTGTGGCAGGAAGCCCCAGACACTCGGCAAATGTGTGGCTGCAAATCTGTGGCCTGGGCTCTAGTTCAGCACTTCCACTGGGGTAGAGAGAATTGGGATCCTGGCAGAGACTCCCATCAGCAACAGTGGCTCACTAGAGCAGACTCCCAGCCCACAGTGGCAGGGGAGGTGTGCCAAGGTAGCGGGAGCAGGGAGGGAAGATACGAAATGTATCAAATCATTGGGGCAAGGAGGAGTAGCTTGTAAAAAGCTTCCCTGTGATGCTGCCCTGCTTCTTCAGGTGAGAATCACTCTCTTAGGAGCTGGGAGCCAGACACACAGACGGTGGTGTCTATGCCACCTAGAACCTCTGGAAAACATGGCTTGGTATGCAAACCACTGGGAACTGTCCTGAAAGGCATCAGAAGAAGGCAAAAAGGGCCTTGCATGGGGAAGCCCTAGTCCAGCATTGTCAATTCCTAATTGGGTGGCCTTAGACAAGATACTTCGTCTCTCAGAGCCTCAGCTTGTCCAGCTGTGACTTAGGAATAATAACACTGCCTTCCTGTTGGGGCTTTTTATGTAAGGCTCAAATGAATGAAAGAATGGATGTAAAATAATAATAGTACTCGTCATCATAATAATGATAGCTAATGCTTTCTAAGCATTTGTCATATAAATAATATATAACAGTCATGGGCACAATTCTATACACTTCACATGCATTAACTTGTTTAATACTCACAAAAGCCCTATGAGTTAGGTGCACTTAGCAGAAGAGGGCAGTGAGACACAGAGAGGTTAAGGAACTTGCCTACCATCACACAGCTAGCACAAGGCAGAGCCGGGATTCAAGTTCAGGCTGCCTGGCTCTGGAATGTACCCTTTATTCACAGCGTCACACAGATCTTGGCTCCTAATGCTCTCCCCTCACTATCTCTGGCTTCCTTGCAATTCCCCAAACACATCAGGCACATTCCCACCTCTGGGCCTTTGCACTGGCTGCTTTCTCTGCCACAAAGCCTCTCCCTCACAGCTTCTCTCCTCATCTCCTTTCAGTTTTGATTCAAACGTTACCTTCTTTTCAGTACATTTTGCAAATACTTCTGCCCTCGTCCCATTTTCTATCCTCACTCCCTTCTTTACCTTTCTCCTTCGTACATATCACTTTCTAACACACTATATTTTATTTATTTATCTTGCTTATTGTCTGTCTTTCCTACTGAATATAAGCTCCAAGAGGGCAGGGGCTTTTATTTTTAGCCACTACTGTATTCACAGCACTTAAAACAGTGCGGGAAAAATAGCAAATGTGTAAAAACACGTGTTGCATGAATGAGTGTTGAATGCTGCTCCAAAACAGTGGGCCGGGCTCTGTACCAGGGTAAGGGATTTTTATCTGACCCAGATTGTGGATTCCTGACAGCTGATGCAACAGGGCATTCCTTGAAACCGTGCTGGGAGTGCAGAGCCTGGCCGAGAGGCTCAGTGGGCCCTCCTTGCCACCCTGGTAGGCAGCTGAATAGAGGAGTGAGAAATGGCATGTCTGTGTTTTTGGGGTGGGGGAGAAGCGTCCTTGGGGTCCAGCCCGGAGCAGCCACCCTGACCGCATGAGCTCTGCCACCCAAACTCCTCCTTCTCTTCTCCCCCTTTACCTGCAGCCCGGGCACTCCAGGGGGGCCTGGTGGTCCAGGAATACCTGGTGGACCCTGAGGGAGAGAGGGAAGAGTCAGAGCCAGCAAAGAGCTCTGCCCCATGGCTGAGAGCAGCTGTTTAGGGTGGACAAGCCGTGGGGTGCTGGCGGACAAGAGGAGACAAGCGACACACCTGCGGGCCCGGCTGCCAGGAGCTGCCCATCCAAAGTCCCGGAGCACCCTGGGTGGGAGTGGGGGTCGCAAAAGAAGGGGAGAGGTTATAGGCAACGTCTACACCAAGCGCGGGGCTGCGTGGGGAGGCGGATGGCTGGGGTGTGCGGCCCTGCAGAGCCCTTGCACACTGGGCACCAGACGAGGCTGAAGCTGCTCCTCTCCCCCGGGCTGGGGGAAGGCTCTCACAGTGCCACTTACCGGCATGCCAGAGAAGACGAGGTCTCCTCGAGAGGGGCAGGAGCACTCCCCTGGCTCACCCTGAAAAGACAAGAGCCTTTGTGAGACATGGACGAAGACAAAGGGCCTCTTGAAATGGACATCCGAGAGGCATGGGGCTCTAGAGATGGAGAGGCCAGGGTTTCAATCCAGGATCGGCCTCTTATGATGTTGCCCTTGGGCAACCTGTTCAACCTCTCTGCACCTCAGCCTCCTCGCCTGTAAAATGGGAACAGTCATTCCAGGCGCACGGAGTCTCAGGAAGACAAAATGGATTTGTGTATACAGGGGTCCTGTCGCATGGAGATTATTCAGCAAACCATGGTCCTGCTGTTACAGTCATCAGTTATAACCGTGTCTGCTGCCATGCAGGTAATCTCATCTTCAGTACAACTGCAGCCCCGCTCCCCTGGCTTCCATGCCCTTCTCTCAGGGGCCCCTCACCTCTCTGCCCTCTCACCACTAGTCCTTCCCAGCTCACTTCCTGCCCCATCCTCTGACTCAGCCCCCATTTGAAAATGCAGCTGCCCTCCTAAGGGGGCCTTGGAGTTTTCCAGTCTCCCATGATCCTGGTTGAGTCTCAGGCCAGCAACCAGGTGAAGTTAGGGATATGTGGAGCCCCTGGAACCAGGAAGCTTAAAATTGAGTTCCTCAGTCACACTAGCTGCATTTCAGGAGCCCAGGATGCCTCCTCCACCCCCATCCTCCAGTCCAAGGCAGCTTCATGTGCACAGGCTCCCCTGATTCGTGGTGGGAAGGCTGGAGGGGCTGCTAACCCCCCAGCGTATGGGTCACAGGCCCTTGGAACTCACCTTCTCTCCTCGTGGTCCCTTTTCACCCTGCAGGGAAGAAACACAGAAAGGTGAGCAGATATGGGTGCCGAGGCAGGGCCAGCCATGGCTTCCTGCTGTCCCGAGACACTGTACTCACTGGTGTCCCTCTGGGTCCCGTCTGTCCTTGCTGCCCATCACGGCCCTGAAGGGAGAGAGCCCAGAGTCAGAGGGTGAGACTGGGCAGCGGCCAGCCATCTGGCCTGCTGCAGAAAGGGGCTGTAGGACAAACAGAAGCAGCGCCAGGCTCCTCTGGCACCCAGGGCCCAGGGCCCACGTTCCAGAGGAGCAGACTGAGGTGCCGGACAAGGAAGAAGACTGGCATTTCCTGAGCACATCTGGGTGCCAGCCACCGGGCCAAGTACCCGTCAGGGAACATTGAATGGAATCCCCTCTCCCAGTCCAGCAGGACGGTATTGTTCTGGTTTTCAGGTGAGGAAACTGAGCCTTAAAGAAACTTCATGATAGACCCAGCAGCCAGCTGCAGCCAGGAGTGTGTAGCCTGAAGTCTCTGCTCTCTCCTCTCTCTCTTTAGTGCTTGATACACTTTCTCCCTATCACAAAAGCTGTGTCTGTTGACCTAACTGGGAGAAGGGGATTTCAGCCCCTTTTTTATCCACAAAAAACTGGTGACTTTGAGAAGCTGTCACTTGCCTAAGGTCACACCCCTAGCAAGTGTGCGGCTGAGGACGAGAAGCCTGCTGGATGGAATTCAGCATGAGGAGAGGTCTGGAACATTCTCCTGGAAAGGCAAGCAGCTTGGACAATGGCATGGAGTCTGCTCAGGCCAGGAGAGGCCAGCCTGGCCACACAGGGCGTTCCCATAACTCCTTCATGTGGGCTCCTCCACCTTCACACTTGGGACTTGAAGCTCCCTGAGGACCTGGCCCACGTCTTTCATTCTGCCCTGGGGCTCCCTGGGACAGGCAGGAATCCTGGCTGTCCAGCTCTGCGGGGCAATAGAGACTGGCTGTGTGGACTTGGGCGAGTCCCCGCCCGCTTTGGACGTTGGTGCACTCTCCTATCAGTGAATCCCAAACTGGAACTAGAATTTCTCCAGGGATCCGCAAAGATAGAAGAGGATACAGTTCACTGGGCTATTTTTAACATTAACAAAAGCCCAAGACAAATTACGCATTTGCCCACCACCTGGCATGGAACAGACTGGCTGAAAGGTAGCATGCCTTTGATTTAGGCTGCAATTAGATTATCTGGTAAAATTCTAGCAGGTTCATGTGGAGTAGAAGCTGACGACTACACAGGTCTTTGATGACTAAAAATGAGAAAATGCACTTGTGATTACTTAATCCGTGCAATTTGTTCAATAGACACGTCTTTTAAAACACGGGAGCCACTGGGGGAATAGTACAAAGGGAAGGTCTTTCCAATTACACTGGAAGTAGTTGCTGGTCTGGATCTGTGCTGTCTGATACCGTAGTCCATAGCCACATGGGGCTATTTAAATTTAAATTAATTAAAATTAAATGTCACTTAAAATTGAGTTCCTCAGTCACACTAGCTGCATTTCAGGTGCACTCAACAGCCACCTGTGGTTGTGCCGAACACAGCCTTTCCATCCTCATAGACAGTTGTACTGGGCAGCACCGGTTCACATGTCCCTAATGACTAGGGATGGGCTTTGAGTCAGACAGGCCTAGGTTGAAGTCCGTGGCTCTGCCTCCTCACCCTCTGACCTTCAATTTCCTGATCTATGAAGTGAGTTCCCTTACAGGGCTGATGTGAGGATGACATGAATTTCTGTGTTTAGAGCTTAGCACAGGACCTCAGCATGATCACTGCTCAAAAAATGGTGGTGAACATTATTGTATTATTCAAGCATTCCCTTAAAGGAGTGAGGTCTTCCTTGTCTGAGGCTGGGCTGAGGCCTCTCTCCTCCCATGCCCTGTGCTGCTGGGATGGGCAGGGTCAGCTCCATGCCCTCTTCCCAGCAGAAACATCCTTGGTTCCAGCAACACCACCAGAATGGAGCACAGAGAAGACTTACTGGAGGCCCAGAGACACTGGTCCCAGGAGGTCCCACGGGTCCGGTGGCTCCTTTCACCCCTGGAGATCCCTGTGTAAGAGAGGGTACAAAGGTTGCAGCGGCAGAATTGGAAGCCAGCTACAACCCAGCAGGTAAGACACATCCCGACAGGTCTTAGGCAGCCCTCTGATAGGCAGCACTTGGCCCCTGTGTCCCCTGTGCCTGCTGCTGGGACACTCTGGAATACTGCAGGCCCAATGCCCATGGAGGCAGAAGCTCACCTGGGCACCCTTCTCTCCAGTGGGGCCAGGTGGTCCCCGAGGTCCCGGAAGTCCCTGCAGATGGAAGCACAGTTAGTTAACCCATATCCTAGAATGGCCCTCTCGCCTGCTATCCTCCTCCAGGACTCAGGCAGACGTACCTGAATGCCAGGCAAACCCGGGGCTCCAGGCTCCCCCTGCAAGTCAGAAAGGGCAGATTAGCACACAGCAGCCACAGCCAACCTGTTCCTCTGGCCCTGCCACACCGGCAGACCTGGTCTGGGTGGGGCATCTACCAGCCCAAATTCAGAAGAGCTCCCCAAGGAGACCCTGAGGGTCAGAGAGGCTGGGGTCAAAGGCAAGTCCCTGACAGAAGCAACAGCAGGCCAGGGTTATGGCCTGACTCCTGGTCCCAGAACTAAGTCCTGTGCATCTGGGGGCAGGCAGAGCCCTGCAGTTTGGGAGTGGATGGAATTAGGTAGTTGGCTAATAGAAGTGTTGAGGGGACAGGCAAAGGCAAGGCTAGAGACTCACCTGGGGTCCCTGGACTCCCCTTCCTGGAGGCCCTGGCTCTCCCTGAAGAGGCAGAAGGACAGTCCCTGGCTCGAGGTTCCCCAGTCACCCTTCACCCTTCTCCCCAGCCCCTTCTCCCCCAGCTTCTCCCTGCCCTGCACCCTGCCTCCATTTCCCACTCCAGGCCCACTGCCCCCATGGATCGGTCTATCCCACCCCTTGCCCTCACATAGCTGCAGCCCAGGGCCCCAAGACTCACACATACCTGCATGCCCTTCAGACCTGGGGGCCCTTGAACTCCTGGTAGACCGGGTTGGCCCTAAAAGGCACAAGGTGGCCCATGGAGTCCCTGCAGGGGAAAGGGGGACAGAAGGGAGAGGAGGCAAAGCCCAGGCAGGGAAGGGCCAGAGGGCAGGCAACTCACGGGTTTACCAGGTCGGCCCACGCCTTCGGGACCCGGTTCTCCTTTGGGGCCGGGCTGCCCAGGCCGTCCTGCCACATCTGTCACTGTCCCCTGCAGGCTGGGGCAGGCAGTGCAGCCATCACCCTGGTCAAAGATGGGTACAGCCTGGAGCCCATGAGCCAGCGCTGGCACCCAGGCCAGGATACCCTGCACCCCTCTGAACACTCTGCCCCTTGAATGCTCCCACCTCAGCCTGGGAAATCAAAACAGGCCCCTGACACTCCTAGCAGAGGAGAAGCCCCGAGGAGCCTCCACTCAGTGACTCTGACAGCCGTTAAGGCCCCAGCTGGCCCTGCAGTCCTTCCCTCACTGGTGCGCCACCTGATTTTTTTATGCAGCAAACTCCCCTGACCCCAACCACCCCACCTGACTAACCTTTTCTCCTTTTGGCCCCGCAGGGCCTCGAACTCCAGGCTCTCCTGACAGTCCTGGCCGCCCTGTGGTTCCCGGCGTTCCAGGGTCTCCGGGATTCCCAGCATCACCCTGTAAGGAGCGGAGTTCAAGGAAGGCAAGGCTGACTCACGGTCCTTTGCTGGGGCTGAGGGTTCAGGGCTAGGGAAGGAGGAAAAGGAGGCAAGGAGGGGATCTGAGAGGATGCTGTGCCCACCCCCATGCCCACAGAGGCCCTCTCACCTTCTGCCCCTTCAGTCCACGCTCTCCAGCCTTGCCCTGAAGAGAAAGAATTTCCAGCACCCGCTCACTCATACCAGCCACCCTGAAGTGCCTGGCACCACATCAGTTTGGGGCATACAACAGTAAATAAACAAAACCAAATCTCTGCTTTCGTGCTAGTGAAGCATTATTGCCCAGGGTCAGAGGAGAGATTTGTGCCAGACTCCTTGCCTGGGTGACATGGGCAAATTAGCTCATCTATCTCTGTACCTCAGTTTCTTCAGCTGTCAAATGGGGATGATAAAAATAGTATAGGCTTCTGCCCTATAAGGATCCTGTGAGGTTAGACAAGCGAATATGTCGTGTGCAGCAGTGCCTGGCACATAGTGTCCACTGTGGCAGTGCTGGCCATTACTATGAAAGCAGTAACAGTGATAATAACCACAGTGGTAACTGCCATTTCCCCAGTGCCCATGGTGTGCTGCTAAGCACTTCACACATGTCATTACTAGGCTTTACTCTGTGCAAGAAACAGAGGTGGAGAGAAGTGACTTGCTCAAGTCAAAGACTTAGTAAGAGGCAAAGCTAAGATTGGAACCCAGGTCTCTCTGGTCCTAGGATGGCGCTCTTTCTGCCCACTCTGACATACTCTGTCCCAGGATAAAGGGCAGAGACCTGTGAGGGCAGCTCCTTCTGGAGACAGAGGCTCTGACCCCGCCACACCCTCCCCACTACCCCCAACTGCCCAGGGAGTCAAGAGACCCAGGCAGGACCCCTCCCCTGTCCTAAGCCCTGCCTGCATCCCCCTCCAGAGGCCCCTGCCTATATCCCACCTCACCTGTTTTCCTGGCAAGCCAAAGCCTGGAGGCCCAGGTTCCCCCTTCTCTCCGGATGGGCCAGGCAAGGCCACCACACGGACATCCCCATCCTGAAGGTTGGACAGGGCTGGACACGGCTCACAGGGCTCCCCCTGCCAGGCAAGGACATTGGGTTAGGGGGTCCTCCAGGCCCTAGTGCATTTGAGCCAGGTTTGGAATCTAGGGCTGGGGAATGTCACTGGGTCTGACACTGCACCTCTGCTGGGTGAGGAGTTATCTCAGGAAAGATGAAGGGAGAACAGGAAAGAAACAAAGGTGGAGCTGAGTGATCAGGGGTCTCGTGCTTTGCCAAGGAGTCAGACTCTGCCTAACAGACAGCAAGGAGCCCCAGAGGGTTTGAAGTCGAGCAAAACGAGTGTCTGTCTAGGAAGCTCACCCAGGCTGCAGCACAGAGAATGTCCCCAGACTCACCTTCGCCCCTTTGATGCCTACTGGTCCCACTGGTCCTGGTGGCCCCTGCATGTTAAGACGCTCCATGTAATGCTCAGCAGCTGCCGAGGCCATGCCTGTCAGCCCCTCCCACCTTGTCCTCTCCCAAGCTGTTGCCATCCCAAACATACTTACTGGACTGCCAGCTGGCCCTGCCTCCCCGAAGTTACCCTGAGAGAAAGCACAAAAGCCATGATTGAAGAGGGGATGCAGTCTAGGTGCCAGAGCAATTGCAAACCCAAAACTATAAAAGCAGCCCCTTTGGATGTCCAGACTACCCTCTCACGTCCAGAGAGGAAGAGGGCTTTCTCCAAGGTCCCCAAGGGAGTCTGTGACCAGCCAGGGGCTAGAAGCCCTATTTCTGCTCCCAGCCTCACCTCATGGAATCCAGTCCACCCTCAGCCCTGGCTCAGAACACAAAAATCATGAATGCATTTTTCCAACAGCCTTTCATTGGACACCTTTATACACGGAGCACTGGGCTGAGGCAGTGGGTAGACAGCAGTGAGCAGCACAAACAGTAATGCCTGTTGAGCTTGCACATGCAGAACTTTCTAAATCATTTTAAACAATGGTGAGTACTATGAAGGAAATCAACAAGGTGATGAGACAGAGTAAGTGGAGGTGGTCAGAGAGGTGTTAACCCTGATTATTACCAGAAGAATGAGAATAAGGTCATCCAATGAAAGGATAGGGGGAGGGTAGAAAGGAAAAACATTCTAGATGTTTCTAGTGGGAACCACAAGTACAAAATCTGACAGGTGGGAGTAGTCCAGACATATTCCATAATGGAAAGAAGGTTCACATGGCTGAAGCACGGTAAACCAGAAGAGAAGGGGAAGAAGTGGATGAATGTGGGAAGGATGGGGGCTGGGGCATCCGGGGTCCTGTGAGGCACAGCAGAGCTATGGTAGAAAGTAAGTCACAGAGGGACTGTAAGGAGGGAAATACTGATTATTCTACAAAGCCACATTAAACTACTGGATGAAGGCCAGGCACGATGGCTCACACCTGTAATCCCAGCACTTTGGGAGGCCAAGGAGGGTAGATCATTTGAGGTCAGGAGTTTGAGACCAGCGTGGCCAACATGGCAAAACCCCGTCTCTACGAAAACTACAAAAATTAGCTGAGTGTGGTGGTGCACGGCTGTAATCCCAGCAAATCGGGAGGCTGAGGCAGGAGAATCGCTTGAACCTGGGAGACGAAGGTTGCAGTGAGCAGCGATCATGCCACTGCACTCCAGCCTGGGCAACAGAGTGAGACTCCGTCTCAAAAAAAAACTACCAGATGAAAACTGGACTGCTGCAGGGCTGCAGTGGCCACGAGCAGGCCCGAGGAGGTTCCACCATGCAGGAGAGAGGCCATGGGAACGCAGATTACCATGGCAGTGGTGGGCATGGAGAGAAGTGGAGGAGTGAGAGAACCCTCATGGGCAGAACTGTCAGGGCTCGCTGGGGGGCTAGAGGCAGGAGGGGACAGTGTCAGGAGTGGAGGACCTGAGGACGACCGTAAGGCTGGGCTTTGAGGGGCTGGCTGTGAGCTGATGACTGAGATGGAGAAGCTGGGAAGAGGCGGCAGGCGGGGTGGGGGTGCAAAGGCCCCACATGCGATGTGACACGTGGGCTTCCCCTGTTAGGGTTGAGTCTGCACACATACTTCAGTGTTTCTCACACTTGAACATTCGTACACCCACAGAACCCCTCATTTGGGTAACACTGCATTAGAAGTTCAAGCCTGCCGTTTGTCTCCAATGCAATCATAAATAGATACGTTAACACAGGCACTGAAATTGACCCAGCGGCATAATGAAGATTACAGTCTCTGGAGCCAGGCTTCCTGGGCTCAATCCCAGCTCTGCATCCAATCACCTGTGTAACTTTGGGCAATTTACTTGGCCTTTCTGTGCCTCCGTTTCCTCATCTGTGAAACGGGAATAAGGGAGCACCTACCCCATAAAAACTGGGAGGAAAAAACAAGTGAACACACTTACAAGATTTGGAATAGTGCCCGGCACATAATAAGCAATAAAGAAGTGTTACATATTGTCAATATTATAAAGTAATCTTGAATGTGCTTAATAGTTTTAGAATATCATCACACCTACACTAAGGAATTATCTTACAGAACATGAGGGCTCTCAGAAATACATTCTTTGACTCCAGTCTGCAAAGCACTAGTAAATTAATTTTACTGTGAATTTACCGTCTGAATCTCTTGTTTATATTACCCTTATTCCCCGCCCGCGCCGCTCCTCCCCTGCCTCCCTGCCTAGAAACCCCAGTGTCCCTGACATCTAACCCAGGTCTCACCTTCTCTCCTTTCAGCCCTGGCAACCCAGCTTTCCCCTGAAAAACAACCAAGACAGAGTCTCAACATCTCCCCACTCCCACCTCTCCAAGGCTCCCCGGGTCCCAGTGTCCAACCGGAAAGAGAAACATAAGATAGGAATTGTGTCCTTCAGGTAGCTGGACAGTTTCTTCAGTTAGACAACTGAAGCCAGAGGTGCTAAGAGGAAGTTCCAGGGCAAGGAGCCTGGGGCAGCACAGGGACGGAGGGAGGGACGAGGAGACAGGCCTGGGACACCTGCCTCTTCCGCTCCCTCCTGATCCCTGCCCTGAGACTTGGGATCTGAAAAGCCAAGGAGATCACCAGTATGGCAAGGATGGGCTGAACTGGGCTGGACTGGGAGAAAGTAGTCACTCACCGGAAGGCCAGGCAGACCAAAGCCAGGGGAGCCCACATCTCCACTGGCCCCTGTGGAGGATGCAAGATGCTGGGCCCCTACAACCGAGCTGCAGGACAAGCAGGACTCCCCCTGTGTAAAGAAGAGGAAGGATCAGAAATACTCCCAGGTAGGCAGAGGAGGGCAACCAGGAGAGCAGGGTTCCCTCACCTTCTCTCCTTTGATGCCTTGGATGCCAGGGTCTCCCTGCAGGGAAAAAAAAGGTTTGTGGGCTGAGACAGGGCACGATGGGGCACCCCCAAACTCCCTGGCAATATGCGAGGACAGCAATGTCACACACGCAAACCATCCAAACACCTAGGGGTCCCATAGGGTTCAAGGCCAGCACCCCAGAGGCAGGGTTCATCAACCCACATAACAAGCAGGAGCATGGCGGGGGAGGGAATGAGGCCAGGTTAAGTTACCCCAGTGGAAAGTTCTCGCACGTACCCTGTCGCCTTTTTGTCCGACAGTTTTCGGGTGGTCCTGAAAGAAGGGGTCTGTGAGAGAGGGGGCTCACCCAGTCCTGCTCACTCCTTTCCTCCACCCCCAAAACACACCCAGTCCTAGGACACAGCCTCACTCACAATAAGGGTGGACTCCCTCCCAGCTTGCCCAAAAGGCATCCTAGAGTCTCCTGGAAAGTCCTGGGAGGTTGCCATGGAGACCTGAGGTGGCACTCTAGCCCAGCCCTGAGCTCTGTGGTTCAGACCCCTTAATACCATAAGAGCCTAGACTCTCTGCCCATAATCTCTCTGTAGCCATGAGAAGTACACAGTCCCTCTGCCCAACTCCTCTCTATGATCATGCCCCCAGGTTTCTTTGTGTGCTGGGGGAGGTCCCTCAGTGGTCACCCTGGGCACTCACTCTGGCTGATACAGGATCACCAGGCTCCCCTTTGGGCCCTGGCTTTCCAGGGAGTCCGACAAAGCTCTGGAACCCTTCAGGCAGTGTTGGGCACACTTCACAGGGGTCACCCTAGCAGAACGGAAAGGCAATAAGTGGACAGGGTGGGGCTGAGACCCCGGGGAAGGCAAGGGGCCTCTTGCACATACCAGCCTTAGACATTGGGTCTGCCAGAGCCCCACCCCCAACATCAAAGTGGACAGCAGGAATGCCGCTGGGGCTTCCTGTTCAACTGACTCATTCATTCACCACAAGATTCCAGGGCGGCACAGAACTACATCCTCGCTGTAAGCCTTGAAACATGACTGTGTCCCACTGACAGACATGGAAACTTGGGCTAAGAGACAAGCTAATTGACTCAGACCTTTCATAACCATGTGTGTGGTGGAGGCAGGGTTTGAACCCAGCTCACCCCCAAGCCAGGTTCTTTATGTACTCATTGCACATGGACATCAGAGGAAGAAAGGGTGGGGGGCCCCTGAGGAAGGTCCAGCACCCCTAGGCCTAGGGCCCTTGATGGTCACTGTCGTTTGCAGAGAGGGGGGTCCCATTCCCACCCCAATCTGGGCAGCCAGGCCTGGGACTCACCTTCTCTCCCTTCACACCTGGTTTCCCCTGTTAGAAAAGAGGCAATGGGCATCAGTGCCAGGGCAGAGGGCTGGTGTGCCAACTGAGGGCTGGAGGACCTAGCCCCTCCCTCCAGAGGCCTTGGAAGAGCAACCCTCCCCCACTGGATTGAAGTCACTCACAGGTTTCCCACCAGGGCCTTCCTTTCCTGGGATCCCAGAGCTGCCCTGTGGTCAGAAGAAAGGATAAGGGGGTTGCCTCCTGGCCAATGCGACCTCGGTGCATTCCCCTTTCCCCACCCGTGCCCCTCTGTGATGGCAGAACATTCTTTGCCAAATCTCCCCATCGCCATTTGTCCCATTTGGTCGGTTCCTGTTGCCTGCCCTCCATGTCTAACCCACGTCATTTCAAAGGAAGAGAGAAAATGAGGCGTCTGTGTGCCCCTTCACTGTGCACAGGTTAGGAGGTGATCCGCGCGACCCCAGGGAAACCACAGCATCACAGACAGAAATTTCCAGAGCTTTCTGCACATCCAGGCACAAGGCCCTAAAATGAGCTCGGGCCCTCCAGCAAAGTCCACTTTGGTCTTTACAACACTTAGACCTGCCCATCCCTATACCTGGAACACAGGCTAAGGTTTCAACCTCAATGAGCACCGGGATGGGGACAGGACACTCCCCGCCAAGGGGCCTGGCCAAGCCGAGCTCAGCCTCCTCCTCCAAAGGCCTCGCCTCCTCCCTGGGACTTGTTTCCCCTGTGGGAAGCTGCCCCGGCCCCTTCTCCTGTCTCCTCCTGTCAAGCATGGAGCTCCCCACGTGACTGCATTCCCATCTATGCTTACCTTGTCTCCCTTAGGGCCTGGTGGACCACCTGGATCCCCCTGAGGGCAGAAACAGAGTCAAGTGGAAGTTTCCAGGGACCTCTCACCACAGCGAGATCTTCTACCCTCACCCTCTCCTCCAGCCAGGACTCCTGGGACAGAGCCTTATCTTCCCCGCTTCTTTCCCTGGCCAGAGTGGGAGAGGGGTCTCTGAGAAAAACACAGCAGCAGGAGAAGCAAGGAGGTACTCACCGGGGTCCCAGGCAGTCCTATCCCAGGGGGTCCAGGGAGGCCAGGGGGTCCGGGCTCTCCTGCCAGCCCCTCAGGCCCAACAAAGCCAGGGTCTCCCTGGCACAGACATAAGGTGGGCATCAGAGACCTGCTACCCCAGCCCTGCCACCTCATCTCCACCCCACAAACATCCACAACTCACCTTCTGCCCTTTGGGCCCAATGACACAGATTTCTCCTGGCCGGCCCTGTCGGGGGATAAGGGGGGAGGGTGTACAAACAGCCCTGAGGCTTGGCTATCATGCACGCTAATCATGTGAGATTATGGGATCAGGCTGTCATTAGTTTTTGGGCTATGAGTGTTAGTAGTACTATGTTTAGTGAGTATTATGTTTCAGTGTACCCACTGGGAGAGGTGAATGCCCACCTGTCCCACCCTCCCCGCCCCTCCCCCAAACCAGAGCCCACCCTGGTGCCCTGAGGTCAGCACATTGTCAACCTTAGGGTGTTAGAGGTTCGGGGCTCTGAGGCTGGGAGTAAGGAGGCCTGGGCTCAGGTCCTTTTCTGTCCCTGCTTGTGCCTCCTGGGGCACAGCCCCTCCCCACCCTGTGTGAGCAAGGGGAGGAGGCTGGATTCCGAAGGTTAAATCCCAGCATTCTCAGACCCCATGCTGGGGGTTGTGGTGGGGAAGGGGGTCCCAGGCACCTACGTCCCGGCCTGGCTTTCCCGGCACACCCTTGAGGCCTCCGTCGCCCTTCTCGCCTTTCTGGCCCTGGGGAAGGAAGAAGCACAGTGACCAGGATGAGGGAAAGGCCTGGGACAGCTGGGCAGCTCCATCTGGGGGAGGGACAACTGCCTTCTAGACCCCTGGTCTCTGTCTCCCCTGAGAGTGAATGGCTTCAATCACCACGGGAGGGTAGACAACAGGAAGAACTTCCAGACCAGCCAGGCCACTCACTGGGGGAATCTGTGGCATTTCCCTCCAGGTCGGTTGGGTATTTGGACAAGGCAGGATGACTAGGGCGGGGGAGGAGGGTCCTGCCAGCTCTGTGCCCACTGACATCCTCTCCTAAGAGAACCCCAGTTCCTCCTTGCTCATGGCTGTAGAGCCTGCAGACCTCCCTAGAACCCGCCCCTCCAAATCCAGGCTTGTTACCTTCTCGCCTGTTGAGCCTGGGAGTCCTGAGGGTCCCTGAGATGAGGAGGGGAGACAAAAGAAGGGAGGGAAGGAAGGGAGGGTAAGGCTGGACCCTGGACCCAGCACCCCTGCCCTATCCCTGATCCCACACTCACCAGAGCTCCTGACTGCCCCTTCTCTCCCTTTGGGCCTTCTGCACACTGAACAGGGGAACATGGTGTTGAGCGGGGGCAGAGGGTCACCTGATGGGCTGCCAAGCCCACAGCCCCTCCCCAGGGGCTGGCCCCATATTGGCCCTGAAGCAGGCATCACCTCCAAGTCTTACCTGAAGTGGGGCATCCGGGGAGATTCGAACACAGTCATTGCCCTGAGGGTAGGCAACAAGGGATCAGGGGTGGGAACTCTGGGGAAGTCCCCTAGACGTGTTGTGAGGAGGATCGGCCTGGGAACCCCATAGTCCTAAGTATCCCTAGAAAAGAGGGGCTTCCACACCTGAACCCCTAGAAAGACCCTGGCCCTCACCCCACTCCCCTGATCTGGGCCAGGCTGCAGGCTTTCTGCTGGGATGATGAGATGATGGCTCACATCCCACCTCACCCCAGGGCACAGCTGGCAAAGGTCCTGCCACGGGCAGGGCTGAGACACTTACCCGTGCTCCCTTCTCTCCCTTGGAGCCTGGTGGACCAGGCAGGCCCCGCTCACCTTTCCCTCCCTGAGAGTGAAACCAGAATGGAAGCTAGGACCAGAGGGGGCACATGGGAGCCTCGAGGAAGCTCTCCCCACCCCTGTCCCCCTCCACCCATCCCCCACACATGGGTACAAAAATACGCACACATGTGAGCAGTGTCCTGCCCCGCCCCTCCCCCCACCACACACAAGCATGTGGATTCCACACCCATTCATCCACATGCTCTCCTACCCCAAGAGACTATATATGGCAAATCTACAGTCTCAAGGGGGGTATCCCATCCCCCACACCCGTACCCAAGCACATCAGCTCACACACAGCACAGCTGGAGGCGTATGGACACACACACGCACAGTGGCAGAAACCCACGCTGGCTGAGTGTCAGGCTGCCGGACTTCAAACCCTGTACTTGCTAGCATGTCACTCAGAGCAGGTCATGTCACCTTTCTGAGCCTCAGTTTCTTCATCAATAAAACGGTATTGACTAGCACATACAAGCCTAATTCACAGTTGCATAGCTTCCCTCCCCGTCATTCACAAGCTCTGTGGCCTCGTTAGGCCCACAGGTACACGGGTTCAACTCCAGCCTTTGTGTGCCATACATATGCAAACATGTGTCCCAAAGATGCATGTAGCCACACCCATACACAATCATTCTAACACATCTAGTCAGACATATGTGGGCACAGCTGGGCCTCAGTTTCCCCTGAAGTAAAATGATAGCACCCACGCTGCAGGCTGAGTATTGAGAGGGTTCAGAAGGGTAACAAATGTGCACAGCTCTGGCCCAGGGCCTGGTGCACAGAAGGGTCTCAGAAAAGGGCAGCTCTTAGCATCTTTGTACACACACAACTCCCTGCTTTCTCTACCACGCATACACCTAATCACCCTACACACATACAGGCTTAGGTGGCCCTGATATAAACACACAGCCACAGGGTCACATGCTGTGGGAATGGCTGGGGTTGCCAAAGAGGACAGGAATGTCCTGTTCTCCATTAGGACTCACCTTGGGGCCAGAGGGAGCAAGTGTCACCTGAAGGGACAGAGGAGAGGGCATCACACTTCCAGTAGAGAGAGAAAACCAGGGGCCCAGAGAAGTCAAGCAATTTAGACAGGGTCACACAGCATGATAGCAGGACCAGCAACCTGTATCCCAGTCCCTGCTCTGCCTCCCAGGCAAACTAGCGAGCGGACTCCATTTCCTCAGCCTGTAACATTTGCAGAGAGTCTAACCTACCTCCTCTAACCTGCCTAGCTTTGGTTAGCTTTGCCTCCCAATTGCTGGGATAACATGGCTGCTTGGTTTCCATGGTAACCCCTGCACATCTGGGGACCATCAGCCTTACCAGATTTGGTGGGGGACTGGATTGAAAGAGGGGGTGGGGAGCAGAGGAGGTACTCCTGATATCCCTCAAAGTCAGGGGGCCTTGGAGCTGAGGGGAGCCAGGGTTGTGCCCTTGGTGGACCAATGTGGGAGGTCAACTCAGAATGTTAGACCACAGAAAAATGGTGACTCTTGCTGCCTATGGAAGAGGCACAGTTGGGTGCCAGGTGGCCTCACACTGAGCCCCTCTCCTTGCCCTTCTGGACCCCCAGAGGAAGGCTGGACCAGGGCCAGCTAGAAAGGGATAGCAGGCCCCGAACCAATGCTGTGGGAGCCCTTGCCGCGTGCTGAGCCAGCTCTTCCCCTTCTCTAGGCCTCTAGGAGAACGCAGGAAGCCTCCACCAGGGCAGGGGGAGACCTTGTGGGGAGTGCAAAGCTGGAATCAGCAACCAAGGCCCTGGTCCTGCCAGCCACCACCCCAGTCCTGCCGGCCACCACCCCCTGCCCAGGCCCTGAACCCGAACACACTGCAGATGACAAGGCAGGTCACCGGCTTTCTTCTACACAGCCCTGGCTTGGTGGGGATGGCAGTGGGGGTCAAGTCCGGCTCTGGGAGATGGGCAGGGAGTGAGAATGAAAGTGTACAAAGACCCCCTTGTCCTCACCCAGGAGGCTGCCAAGCCAGCTCTAGGCAACGTCCACTCCCGGCTCTTGCCCGCTCCACCCTGCACACCCTCCATTCACTCACATTGCTGTCCTGGGCACCATGGACACAGGGTGGACACTGAAAGGGAAAAGCAGGCCAAGAGGTCAATTCTGAGCCCCTGGAGTGAGCCCTCCCCACCTCCATCACCATCAGGCCCACAGAACATCACACATGTCTTGAGTGGAATCTGAGGGGACCCTGAAAATACGAATCCTATAAAACAAGCCTCACCCCTCATTTCCCACCCACCCAGCCCCACAGTCGTTTTTCAGAAGGGGAAACTGAGGCCCAGAGAGGAATAGCAATACACTCTAGGTCACACAGCATGCTGGGGCAGAGTATGGCCCAGAATCCAAGGGCACCGTGACTGAAGGCTGGGCTCTCCCCATGATGCCTGTGGCCCTTTGCTGCCAACTCAGCAGGAGTGTCCTCCAGGGCTACCTACCCCCCAACCCAAGGAGAGGCAGTGGGCAGACAGGGCCCAGCATCAGGCCCCCAAGGAATGCCAGGAGCTGTGTAGTCAGCCAGCACCCCTATGCTGAGGCTCCGTGCCCAAAGCCTGGTCCAAAGGGTTCACGCTGGCACCTCCCCTGCTGCCAGTCCCTTGGGAGGCTTACCTCATCGGCTGCTGTCTCCCGATGGACCTGAGGGAAGGGTGGGGGGCGTGGGAATGGGCAGGGAGCTCAGGAGGCCGAGCACTGTTTCCAACACCCCTACCCCCAAACCAACAGGAGTGGGCACTCTAGAGAGTGCCAGGCACTGCATCTGTCTCACCCCCATCCGTCCTTCTTGATCAGAGCTGGCACCTACATGTCCTAAGCTCTGTCCAGGAGGTGGGAAAGGCGGGAGGAGAGTGGGAGTGGAGCACCTTATCCCTGGGGTTTACAGGGGCACAGAGGGCAGACTGATGGCATGTGGGGTCCTCCACACCCCACCTCTACCTTTGCTCCCCTTTCTGCCTTCTGGTTGATTCTTCCCGTTAGCTGGGCATCCACCTGGGCAGACAGAGCGAAGAGAAATCCTTGAGGAGGGGGAAGTTCTGGGGCCCATGCTGGAAAGGGGTACCCAGGCAGGGGGCATGGACCCCAGGTATGCCCTCAGCCTGGCATCTGGCACCTCCTGGGGCATCGAGGGCCCGCTCAGGCCCCTGCGGCTGCCCCAACAGGTCCCCTTCCTTCTCCCCCACCCACCCATGTGATGTCAGAGCAAACAGGACCATGCATCAATGGCATCCTGTGTTCCTGCAGCCCAAGGCTGGGCAGGATGCCCAGGCGGGCAGGGAGACTGCCAGCCAGGGGGTGGGGCTAAGGGAGGAACCAGGTTTCCGTGCCACCTCTAAAGAACCTGAGAGTGGGCAGGGCAGCTGGCCACGGTGCTGGGTGTAAAACCAGTCTGGCACTGGCTGGCCCTGGGCCCAGGAGATTGAGCCATCCCTGTGGGGAAGCAGTATGACCTGACCTCTGATCCCAGGTACCTCTGTCCTGGAGAAACTGCCTTTGAGGGACAAGCTTAGTCCTGCCCTCATCAGAAGAGTCTGGATGGCATCCATGAGGGTCTAGGCAGTGCCAGAGGTAGATGGTACCACTCTCAACACCCATAGGTAGGTGGGCACAGGGCCACCCAGTGGTGGCCAGTGGGCTGTCTCTGCCTCCTTGAATCATTTAGGGGTGGTGTACAAATAGGGAGGGCTTCCAGTGCCCCTCCTGCCATGGGCCCATGGCCAACTGACCCTGGTGGCAGACGTCAGTCAGCTCAGGGGAGGGGTATCTCACGTATACCTGCCTGTGCTGGCATCTTCCTGTCCTGCCCACCCACCTGGCTGTTTTGAGGTTCCTCCAGGCAGAAACAGCGGGTGTAGACCTTGCCTTCAGACTGTGGATTGATCTCAATGAGCTCATTGCTCTGGGTATCCCGGCGGGCCTTGGAGGTCTCTGGGGGGCACTGTTCAGTGGAAGAGCAGGGCTAGGGTCAGTACAGGAGCAAACTCCTCCTAAGACCTCCAGGCATCACCTTCCAGACCCTCATCTCCAGCACAGTGTGTCCCTGGGCAGTCCAAGGGCCGAGCCACTCACCCCTGCCGGTAAAATCTCACAGCAGCCCTCCTCCAGCACGAGCTCCGGGTCACAGTAGATGTGCACCTGCTGAAGGTCAAACTGCAGGGGACACGTACATCAATTTCACTTCATTTTATCAAATAGCTCTGTGTCCTGGCCCCCCAGGAGGCACAGAGATGTCTCCGCCCCAGGATGTGACCTCAGGGTGTTTCCAGGCTGGCCTGGGAGACATCAAAAATAGAGCTGTCACCAAAGGCAGAACAAAACTGCGCGCACAGGAGCGAAGGAGAGGAGGCCCAGAGGAACAAAAGAGGAGGAGGTTCCATTCATGCTGGGCTTTGAAGGGCTGGTAGCTACTCAGCAGATGAGTATGCAAGGAAAGGCATTCCAGGTGGAGGTAACAGTGTAGGCAAAGGCACAGCAGTGTGAAAGTACTCGGTGAGCTGGTTGGCTAGGATGGAATTAATCAGAGCAGAGCTGCATGGAGAGAGGTAAAGGAAGACAATGCTGCAGACACTTATAAGGACCAGATCATGAAGGACCTTGAATGCCGGGTGAATATGTTTACGCTGCATTTGGAGGGCAACAGGAAAGCAGGGGAAGATTCTAAGCAGAAGGACTTGCTCCAATACAGATTCCAGGAAGCTCACTCAGGTTCCCAGAAGGCAGGAACAGAGGTCAGGGCCTGACCTAGCACTTACCGAGACAGGCTTGCCCTGCTCAGCGTCCAAGCCTAGAAATACATGGCCCACAGGCCTCAGCGGTCGCCGGGGCCCCAGAGGCTGGGAGGAGGCTGAGCTGCAGTCCACGTGCACAGAGGCCACACGTCCAGCCACACTCAGCATCAGCTTGTGCCAACGCAGGTCGAAGAGCTGGGGCACTGGGAAGATGCAGGACACAAAGTCGCCATCCTGGCCCTGGGCCCTGAGCTCCAGGCTCCGCTCTTGGTTGTTGACTTCCAGGGAAATCTGGGTAGAATTTGGAAGGGGAAAGGACAGAGATTCAGAGCTCCAGAGTCAGCACAGGCACATTCAGGGACCTCGAGTTCATTTCACAGGAGGGGAAACTGAGGCCCAAGAAGAGAAGAAAGCTGCTGGGGTCAAGGAGCTATACATCCTGAAAGAATGAGGCAGGTATTGTTGGGCTGGGGGCAGGCTTGAGGGTAGGCACAGGATGAAGCAGGGAGATCCCAGAAATCACAAGCCGGGATGAAAGCTGGGCTGGCCTGGTACTACCCAATGCCCTAAGAAGCAATCAGGGCACGGGGGAAGTTCACCTGTGGATACCCATCTGCATCGGTCACTTGAAACAGATACCACGTCTTCTGGTGGGTGTGTTTCTTCAGCAGTAGTGTCAGCACCAGGGCAAACTCCTCCGGGAGGCCCCGAGGGAATACTCGTCTGGAGATGGAGCAGGGAGGGTGCCCCGAGGCTCCAGTGAGGACCCAACTGCTGCCCACCGTGGGCCCTCAGGACTGCTGAACCTACCCAAGACATCCATAGGCACACACCTTCCATCATATATATTCATTCACTCTCCACACCTTTACTGAGTGCCTTCCGTGAGCTGGGTGTGGGTCTGGCTGCTGGGAATAACAGTGGTGAAGGCCGGGCACGGTGGCTCACACCTGTAATCCCAGCACTGTGGGAGGCCGAGGCGGGCGGATCACTTGAGGCCAAGAGTTGGAGACCAGCCTGGGCAACATGGTGAAACCCCATCTCTACTAAAAATACAAAAATTAGGCAGGTGTAGTGGCAGGCTCCTGTAATCCCAGTTACTTGGGAGGCTGAGGCAGGAGAATCGCTTGAACCCAGGAGGTGGAGGTTATGGTGAGCCAAGATCATGCCACTGCACTCCAGCCTGGGCAACAGAGCAAGACTTGGTCTCAAAAAAAAATACACAGTTGTGAAAATACAGAGGCAGTGCTTGCCTTCATGGAGCCTTCAAGTCTGATGGGGGCAGGGAAGCCATGAGCAAAGAACCCCCAGAATGACTATTTCGCTATTGCATTGCAATTTGAATAAGTACTTCCAATGAACCCAGAATACTCTGGGTGAATAACTGAGCCTAGGATGGAAGGAGAGATGCTGAAAAAAAGAGGGAAAGGGTTCAGCATGACTAGAGCAGCAAGAGATAAAAAAGAGCCTTTTGAGAGCTGAGGTTGAAGAGGCAAGCAGGGGCCAGACCACCCAGGGGCTTGTGGGAGTTTGGACTTCACACACATGGTGCACACACTCACATGCATGTGCGCGCGCACACACACACACGCACATGACTCTTGCCAGGTTCCCGCCCACATCCTGTGTTCTCACAGTGCCCATAGGATGCAGACATGTTCCCACCCACTGCTGGCCAGAGACAAGGGAAAGACAGAAGGTAGGTCTGCCAGGTACCGCCTCTCAGCACACCCCGCAAGCCCAGGGGTGGAGACCAGGTTGACTCCTGGCAGGGGGTGGGATGAAATGACCCACAGAGAGGCCCCTGGGTTTAAGCCCCACATCCAGAGTTGCTGAGGAGTGTGGCTGAGGCCAGTGTTGATTCTCAGTGGTCGCATGGATGCCTTTACCGCGTAGGCTGGGTCACGGAGGCCGCCCCCAGGCGCAGGATGAGAGGCCCCTTGGGGTTGCGGATCTTCTTGATGGCAGACATCTTCATGAGGCTGAGTCGACGGATGAGGTTGAAGCCTTTGGGGGAGACATCAGGTGAAGAGCTCAGCTGAGCAGGCGGAGCGGGGTACAGATCACTCCCAGAGGAAGGTCGTGGGGACGGCGGGATGAGATGGATGGGCGCTCACCAGTCACATTGGCTGGCAGGCTACTACTGTGTTCCAATTTGAGTCCTTCCTGCTGTGAAGGTGGGCAATGTGCACCTGGAAGAGAAGGGGCAGGGGGGCATTAGGTGGGTGCGCTCAGGCCAAGGTTGCTGCATGGCTGGACGCTTGGGGAACCTGGGAGGGAGCAAGTTTATAGTCCTCACTCTGGACCATCAGCTAGATCCTGCCTTCACCACCTGCCTTCTGACCCTGGCTCCCCAGGGAGCCTGGAGGCCCAGCAACCCAGCAAACGGTTGGGAAGACTGAGGCCCAGAGACTGAGGCCCAGGCCAAGCTCACTAAGTGAGCCAACAACAGAGCAGGCCCAGAACTCCAGGAACCCAAATCTCCCAACACTCCCAAGTCAGGAGCTAGGCCGGCAAGGGAGAGAATACACGAAACTCTAGGTGGCTCTCGAGCACAGATGGCGTGGGGGGCTGTGTGTTTATACATGTGCCCCTCCATGACGCACACCCAGGTAGGGGACAGAGGAGCTCTTCAGGGGTAAGGAAACGTCAGAATCATGCACACTGTGTGTTATGTGCAATTATATGTACATGTCTGTACCTGTGGGAGTTGTAGGTGCCCATGACACAAGGGATGACATGTGCAGCTGGCACATGTGCTCTCAGCAATGGGAACTTCCTACGTCCAAATCAGACAAGCAGGCCAGACACAAGTATGAGCCAACAGAATGAATATTTACCTGAATAACCACCTTGTGAAACAGTGAGAAGAGACTGAGGGTCTGAGGGCACCACAAGCTTAAGGGTACCACCAGGGCCTTGGAGCTCCAGGAAGGGCATATTAATGGGTAAGGGCTCCCAGAGAAGGAGATAGTGTAATTCAGGTTTCCAAAGCCCTGAAAGAACAGGTGGGCAGCCATGGGCCTCCATCTCCCTGGGGTTGACTGAGCAGAAGTGTTGGGGGAGGTGCTACAACAGGAAAGAGGCCAGAATCAAAAAGGCCTTCTCATCAATGCAGAGGGATAGGTGGGAGAAGACAGTGCAGACAGCTCCTAGAAGCTGGCCTTGCACTCCCTGGCTAGACTGGCTGGAAGAAGAAATCCTGGGGCCCAGGGGCCCGGTCCCAGTGACCCCACCGGACTCTCCCTCCCCCAGGTCTGGTCAGAAAGACCATCACTGTCTTCAGCATCACAGCAGCAATAGGTGACTCACCCCTTGGCAATGGGCCCAGATTCCTACAGATGTTGAAATTCTCTGTCCCATCCCCCCAAGGGACCCAGTGAGGGAGAGGGAGCAAAGCTCACGCACACACAAGCAGAAGCACATGTGTGCACATACAAGGGGCAGGCAGCCGCACTCACCCGGGTCCACAATCCCTTTCACCTCAGCTTCTTGGTTTTTTTGCTTTTCCTAGCTGGATTTGGGTCCTAGGAGTTCTGTTCTTGCTTGGCTAGGCAGCTGAGCTACTGAGCCCAGAGGGCACCCAGCAAGGCCAGGCAAGTTGCCCGGTCAACTTCCCCTGGCTTTGGGCCCTGGAAAGCTGCACCCTCTGTCTCATCCAGAGTCTGGGCCTCGGGGCGGGCCTTTTGTTAGAAATTCGGGGCCAGCCGTGGAGGAGAAGAAGCACGTGAGCTAAAGGGATGGAGTCTCCACCATGAAAAGGATCAGCGGGACTTGGGGTTCTCTGGGGAGGCGGCGTCCTTGTGCAGGGAGAGTTCACCGCCTGTTCCTCCCCACCCCACTGGTCCTACCAGCAATGTGTCCACAGGATTGGCTTACGTATTGGGGTGGGGGATTGTCCTGTTACACACAGAGACACAGGAATACATACGAATGCACAGAGCCAGTCTAAGAGACAAACAGAGAGATGCTCAGAGACATAAACATATGAAGACACACGTGCACACACTCTCCAGCTCACCGCACGTAGGCTCGAAGGCGCCAACACCTCAGACCACCCTGAGCCCAGACTCTGCTATAATTGCCCACATGACCACACATACATGGTCACATATGTGCAAGGACCCCAGCACCCCCAGGAAACCAGTTGCAGGCCTGTGATACTCTGACTTTCCTGTGTCATCTCACCTGTATTTGCCCCATGGCTGAAGGTAGCCCAAAGACCGAGCAGCCACAGGCCAGGAGCCCAGGATACCCACATCCTGGTCCAAAGAGGTCGGCTACAGCCACAGCACCTGAAAACCACAGACACCGGGAAGGCGGATTTCTGAGTTCACACAGCACAACTCCACACGTGGGCAAGTCGTGGCCCGCCCGTGGGGCCCAGGCACTGGTATTGGGGTGGCAGGAGGTCTGGCCAGGCAATGGTCTCTCTCAGAGGCCCAACCACAGGCCCTGGGCTAGGATTTGAGCAGAGGTGATATTCAAAATATTTAACCACCGGTATGGCACGGATACCAGCTTTCAGGCAATGCAGAAACTGCCTACTGCACTGAAATAGTGTCCAGGCAGCATCCGGCTGCGCCTGTGGACACTTGCTGGATTGAGAAGAGGTCTAGAAGGTCTTAAAAGGCCAGAGAAGTTGGAATAGTGATGGGGGCTTAAAGCAGAAGCTATTTATCAAGACACATGGAAGTATTTCAATAGTCTAACACCTTGTGCACTGTCCTGGTATTTATACCAGCCTGATACTTTACTAGTTGCACCTAGCTCAGGCTGGGAAGCCCTGCCAGGCACCCACAGGGTCAGGGGCTGGTGACTGGGCTGAGATTGTGGGCCACAGGCTTCCACAGGGCTGTGGGGGGGGCCAAGGAAGCTTTCCCCATGGGGACAATGGGCAGGAGAGCAGGTCTCTAGGGCTCAGGACCTCATTGCCAACCTCCTCCTGCCCACCCCCCCCACCCACTGATGGATGCTTGTCTTTTAGTTTTATTAAACCCTGATGGATCGGCCCAGATAAATCAATGCAGGCTCAGCAAGCGGCCAGCAGAGCCATACATCATCTGGCCCCCCCCAGGACAGGCAGCTCACGTGCACAAACACAGAGCCATGCATGTGTCAGCGCAGCACACGCAGATGCACAGGTACACGTACATAAGGACACACATATGTGGTACCAGTGTGCATACAAAGCTATCTGCCCACAGGCATGCTCACAGAAACATATGCTCGCTGATATACCCGGACACACCAGCTTGCACATACCCACATGCGCACAGCCAGCCTATGACCACCCCTCCTGTAGGTCTCCCTGTTGGAAAGTTCTAATGCAAGTCTGACTGCATTCCTTCCACCTCTAATGGAATCCAATTTTCCTTCCCTCAATCATGGATAGGAAATGAAAACAGAAAGGGCCCCTTACCCCAATATATTTGGGATAGGACTCCAGCCCCCTTCTCCCTGGGACAGAACTGTGCCCCCAACCTATTCATCCCCCATCCTAGTGATATACACATCCCAGCTCTCAAACCCTATCCTGGCCTTCCTCCTGCCAGCCAATAGAAGAGCTGCCAGTTGTGGCGCCATGTGGGTGCATGTGGAGGCGTGAGGATGGATGTGATCCTGTCCCCTTCTGGCTCCTAGTCTCTGGTCGCCACTCCTCAGGCTCCAGCCAGAGTAGAGGGCTACAAGGACAGAGCCAGAGAAGCTTCCAAGGAGATGGCTCACCCCAATACAGAGGCGTAGATTTGGGCACAGGGACAGTCAGAACCAGGATGGAGTTTAGAGCTCATCTCGCTCTAGAGAAGATGACCAAGGCCCAGAGAGGGAATACCACTTTCCCCAGGTCACACAGCAAGTCTGGCAGAAAGGGCCTCTCAGCCCAGAGCCCTGAGGCCACCCACTGTATCCCCACTTACCGGTGGCCGGGGATCCCCCCACCTCGCTGAGCAGTGCAGGCAGCAGCCGGAGGAAGCAGAGGCTGGGTTCCTCAGGCCCGCTGGGGGTTCTCCATCTCTCCCTGACAGTCACAGGTCCCCAGCTTCCTGACACTCTCTGGAGCTCTCCCGGCTGTCTGCGGCCCGGCGCACGCCTGCCGGGGACTGCCGGCCACTCCGGGTGGGGGAAGAGGGGCGGTTCCAGGGGGCTGGGGACCTGCCAGGGACACTAATGGAACACAGCTGGACTGGCCCGCCAGGGAGGAGGAGGAGGAGGGCCGAGAGGGGGCTCCAGCAGCAGCAGAGGCGGCTGGACTGCGGGGTGCACAGCCCCGCCCCGGGTCTGGCCGAGCTCCCAGGCCCGCCCCTCCTGCCTCACCGCCAGGTGAGCGAGCCTCGAGCTAGGCGGGACCCTGCGTGTCCAGAGCTGCCCTGGAAGGGGGTTCCTGCGGGCCCTTTAAGAGCCAGGCCTGGAGTTTGAAGTGCCCCCCTTTCCATGTCCCTGGCTGGGCCCCCAGAAGGCTGCGGGGCGGGGGGTGCGGGGGAGGGACAGGGGTGGAGTGAGAAGGGTAGAGACCCTCCTCCCAAGTGCGTGGCACCCATGATGTGGCTGCCACCCAAGCCTTGGTGGTCAGCTTTTTCCAGTTCCTCTGCCTAACATTCCCAGTCAGTCAGTCCCTAAGTCTGTCTGTACTGGGAGGAGGGGGGGAATCCCCTCCCCCCCCCCCCAACCCCCCCCCCCGTGCTAAATTAACCCCTTCTGCTCTGGCCTGACTCCCAGAGAAGCGAGACTGAGGGAGTCCCCTTATTCCTCCTTACTCCATGAGGTTGGAAGGGCTCAAATCCCTGGCCCCTACTCTGGCTTTGCAGTTCCAAATGTGCTATGTAACCATACTCCTTTTTCTCATCTGGAAGATGGGATCGTGAGAGTATGTGCCTCATAGACCTTTGCTGTAAGCAGGAAATGGGCCAAAGGCTGTAAGCGTTTAGCACATGGTCTGGCACATAAGAGGAGCTCAGTAAATATTTGCTGCTATTATCGTTATTACTGTGATCCCTGGCAGGGGACGGGACTGAATTTCAAGCCTTTATACCAGAACTGTGGAGGGGCCTGCTTTATATTCACGGTCCAAGGACGCAAGAGGAATTGAGCTGGGCTGAAAGATTGGAGCTCTGAGGCGGAAGGAGCTGGTAATGTTTCCAGTTCTGTCCAGAGGCAGGGCCGTTGACCAAGGTGAATCCCCCACCAAGGGTCTCCTCCCCCTGTAGACCAAAAGCAAATTTACTGGCACCAAGGCTGAGGATCCACAGAGTAGGTTCAAGAGGCCATGAGATGCTGGGCTGAAGAGGGAGAAACTAAGCGTCCCCAATTAAAGGGGGCCCTGTGGAAGCAAGGCACCCAGCCCTGTGGCCCCAGCTAACGCTAACGCAGGGGGAGGTTGTGGGGGGCAGGCCTGGGATTTCCCGTCTCCAGACCCAGAGGCGCTGAGTCAGCGGAAACCCCAACCAGGCCACAGAGGCGCCCCACTGTGGTCCCAGTGAGGAGCTGGCCCAGATGTGGCGGTGGCAGTAGTGGGGCCTGGGAAGTGCTGAGCTCAGCAGGCGGGAAGCGGAGGGGGTGGGGCCTTCTGAGCACTCTGGCTTGAGGGGTGGGTGGGCACAAGCCCCGCCTGCCCTGCCAGAGGGTGCTGCCCCAGCAGTGGGCACTCGGGAGAGGTGGGAAACACACATAGGTCAGGCTCTGTGCTGAGAACTTCACATATGCTAACTCTTTCGATCTTTGCAACAACACCTTAAGGCAGAATTCCACTTTTATTCCCAAATCTGCAGCACAGGAAAAACACAACTTGCCCAGGATCCCACAGCTAGTCAGTGGTGGAGCAGGACTCATGTCCAGCCAGCCTAGACTCATCACGTGCTCTTAACCACCGTGCCATCCCGACAGCTCCCACCTGCGCCCCAGACACGGCAGGTGACTGGGCCGGGGATGGAGGAACCTGAGAAGGGAGAGCCAGATGCCTTCCCACAGCACCCCAAGGGTGCTCACAGGAACAGCCAAGCCTGGGACACACCTGACGCCTAGAAACACTATCATAGACACAGTCTAGGAATGTGCCCGTGCCCCTTCCTCCCTTCCACACATACGTGCGCACATCCAGAAACACGCAGTCAGGTAAAGTTCTAGCACAGCACTTGGGTATGCAGACTCCATATGCGTGTATAGGCACTCATGTTCACACAGACACACCCTGGTCCTAGAAACAGTTACACACGGATGTGTAGACACACAGGATACGCCTCCACATAAAAGATACACAGAGACACATGTAAGAGCCCAGATTACCCCACAGAAATATATCCCTGGACATCCAAACACAGGTGCATAATTCTCAGAATGCGTGCAAACAGCACTGCATATACTTGAATGTGCACAGACACATGCATGTACACACAGACATGTGTGCATGCAAACATACATGTGCCCACAGGCATAATTACTCAAATATGCAAGCAGAGAAGCCTGCAGACCTGCAGCACATACATGTGTGCACACAGACATAGATGGCCACACAGACTTGGCTCCCAGAGAAACACCAGCTGGGACATGCACACAATGACACATGTACACATATACATACATGCAGCTATGCTGACACTTTTACACGCATTCAGTGCCAGAAAGCCCTGCACGCCAGCAATCTGGGTATCCCATGGGGCTGGGCTCAGTGCCCTCACCTCAGATGGCATCACCACGAGGTAATCAATGCTGCTAATCACCACCAGCTGCCCTGGAGCCTGCGTGCTGCTGCTGGGTGGGGCTACCAAGGCCTTCTGGTAGTATGCCCAGATGCTGGCAGTGCCCAAGGGCCCTCTGCCCCCCACTGGGGAATCCCCGTATGGCAGGGGTAGCCCCTGAGGCTGGGACAGGGCGAAGAGCCAACCCAGGGCCTGGTCCCAGGACAGGCCCAGGAGCCCCCATGCGTTCAGGCAGAGATGGTGTAAAGGTCTGAGGCTTGAACAGTGGACCAGAACCCCCACATGTACATGTGCACACCTGGGCCCTGGCATATGCACATATGGGCTCACACGCAGACACATCACACATGATTAATTACTCTTCCACAGATATGCCCTTCCTGACTTCCTCATCCCTTTAAATGCCACCATAATTCATTCTGTTGCTCAGGTGAAAACCTGTAAACCTTGGCTCCTTCCTTTTCCCCACCACCCCCATCCAATCCTGTCAATTCTACCCCGCAAATACAGCCCACATCCATCTACTCCTCCCCACCTCCACAGCTGCAACCCTCACCCAGGCCACGATCATCTTCTGCTGGGCTGTTTGTTGCAAGAGCTCCCAACTGATCTGCCTGCTGCCATGGGGCCCCACCACCCACTTACTTCCCATCTGTCAGCCAGTAAGACTTTTCTTTCTTTCTTTTTTTTTTTTTTTGAGACAGAGTTTTGCTCTTGTCGCCCAGGCTGGAGTGCAATGGCACAATCTCGGCTCACTGCAACCTCTGCCTCCCTGGTTCAAGCAGTTCTCCTGTCAGCCTCCCAAGTAGCTGGGATTACAGGCCCCCGCCACGACGTCTGGCTAATTTTTGTATTTTTAGTAGAGACAGGGTTTCACCATGTTGGCCAGGCTGGTCCCGAACTCCTGACCTCAGGTAATCCACCCGCCTTGGCCTCCCAAAGAGCTGGGATTATAGACATGAACCACCGCACCCGGCCAGGAAGACCTTTTCAAACCCATATCCGTTGGCTTCACTCTGTTTTATCAGTCTTCTTAGAATAAAGCCCCAAATCTTTCCCTTGGCCTTGCCAAGTCCTTCATGATCTCGCCTCTGCCTTCCTGTCCAGCCACCTCACCCCAAAAGCTATAGCCACCCACTCACTTCCTTTCTCATTCCTGAATTCACTAAGTTCACTTTCCCCTCAGCCCTTGTGCACCAACTCTTCTCTCTGCCGGCAAGGATTTGCCCCTTGTCTTTGCCAGGGTGGCTTTTTGATATCCAGGTCTCACCTCCTAAGTCAACTCCTCAGAGTGGCCTTCCCTGATCACCAGATATGAGGAGCCCCTAGTTGCTCCCCATCACATGATCCCGGTTTGGGGTTCGTTTGCTTGGTTGGTTTGGTTTGGTTTTTTTGAGACAGGGACTCATTCTGTCGCCCAGGCTGGAGTGCAGTGGTGTGATCACAGCTCACTGCAGCCTTGAACTCCTGGGTTCAAGTGATCCTCCCTCCTCAGCCTCCTGAGTAGCTAGGACTACAGGCTGGCACCACCACTCCTGGCTATTTTAAAAATATTTTTGTAGAGGCAGGGTCTTGCTATGTTGCCTAGGCTGGTCTTGAATTCCTGGCCTCAAGTGATCCTTCTGCCTCCATCTCCCAAAGTGCTGGGATTACAGGCGTGAGTCACTACGCCCAGCCTGACCCTGTTTTAAATCTCTACATAGCTCTGGTATTTGTTTGTTTGTTGTCTTTCTCCGATAATAAGCGTGAAAGCTCCATGAGTGTCCCTGTCCACCATTAATACCGTCCTTCAGCTGAGCCTGGCACCCTGCAGGCACCCACTATTGAATGAGTGGCTAAATGCATGCAAGCAGCGTCCAAGCGCACAGACACAGCCATGCACTGCAGGAGGTATGGCATAAGCACACATGATTATGCACCTGCATCCTCATATGCAGACACACAGGTGCAGCTTCCGGGTCACAGAGGAGAGACTGAGACCAGAGGACCAGGACTCTCTCTGGCTGCTTTGGTTTCTCGGAGTGTGTCTCTCATTGTCTCTATCCTCTGTCTGTGTGAAATTGCTGTGGCTCTTTCTTCCTTCTCAGCGAGTCTGTCCCCGTCTCTAGCTCTCTCTCGTAGGTCCCTCTGTTTTCCTCTGTGTTTGGGATCCTGTGTATCTAACTTGGCATCTCTATGTCTTTGTGTCTCTGGTCTCTTTTTCTCACACTTCCTGCATCTTTACGCTTCTGTCTCTCTTTGTCTCTGTCTTCCCTGTCACTCTCTCTCTGCGCGTTTGCATCTCTCTTCACCCTGTCTCTGTCTCTCCGTGTGTGTCTCATTCTCCATCTGCCCGTCTCTGTTTCTGGGTCTGGTCTCCATCTTGCCGGCTTTAGATCTCTGCCTCTCTGCCTTTCCTTCTTCCTTCCTCTTGTCCTAAATCAGCTCAGCCACCACGTCTTCACGGCTGTCCGCGTCCCTGTGGCAGGGAGACCCATCTTTCACCTCTGACTGGCAGCTTGGTGGTCGCAGTGGGAAGGCCAGCGCTCCTCTCTGATAATGCCCCACCTCCGCTA